GTGTCACTTGAAACCAGGTGGATTCCTTGGAAGAATGCATGATTCCCCTTAAAGCGCCCGGAGAAAGAAAGGTACCGATTTGTGCTGATTCACAGCCATTGGCTTCTGCGCAGCCTTGGGAGGGAAGGCGGATGCCGGCCGTGACAAGTTTCGTTGTGAGCGGCGGCGTCCGTGTGCATTGCATGATGTAGACGGTCTGAAATGTTTGTGAGTGTGTTTTTGTGTGATGGTGTCGGTTTGGAGGATGTATCAAAGAGACACGAGCTGGAAACACGCTGGGGAGGCAAACACTTGGTCACGTTCCCCGAAGGGTCAAAGGGTCGGTAAGGCTGAATACGCTGCAAGCGGCCCCGGGCATTCCGTTCTTGGCGGATCAGCGCCCTCCTGGGCCCCCGCGGCTGAACACCACTTGCGCCGGGGGCCTCAGCGACCAATGCGAGCTGGAAATGCATGGGCTGCCACAGACATCAGCCAGCAAACCAGGAACCAGGCGGGTAAATTCTACCTTGTTTCCCCATTGCACGTTGGTTCGGATCACTGGCTCTTCGGTTGCAAGGTGCTTGAAAAAGCCCACGCCTGCCTCAGGTCCCCGAGTGGGGCAAACAGTGGTACGATGAGCTGCGGCCGGATGCTCCCGGGGATCCGCGCTCAGGATTTTCGCGGGTCTTCCACAGCGTGTTCCAGCGTTTGCAACCATTGGGGGCAACCCGGGGAAGGATTCAATGGATGATACTAATTTGAAGATCCACATAGTTTGAACGTTTCTTTCCACAGATTCCAACTTTGGTGGTTGCCGACTAATTGATAAGCAGCTGTATGAGCAACGTGCAAGTGCAACCAGGGTTCCTTTACCTCCCTACGAAAACACTTTGAGGCTGCGAAGTGAGTTCCCCCTTCAAGTCCGTCCAAAGCCGACCTAAGCTTTAGGGTTTCCCTGTCTTGTCCATCAGTGAAGGCCCGGCCTTTGGGCAGAGGGAGCCGGATGCCTCGCTGAGGTCTATGGCCCAGACTCGGCCATCAACTACCACAACTACGGCGGGGTGTTTTTTGAACTTGCCGTGAAGCCCTGGATGCTGATGTTGATTTTTTTCACGTGTCCAGGCTTCTGGCTCTGTAGGTGTTGAAGTTCTGAAGGCTTATTTTCCACATGTCTCCAGGCTGTTGGCTTTGTAGCAAGCGCACTCTGCGCTGCATGGATTTGGACAACCCTTGAGAAGAATCGCCTCAACCTGGAGAATCTTCGATCCTTTGCTCGCGTTGCCAGGCAAGTACATTGTGAACATCAACCCTTGGACAGATGTGAGGACCTCAAGCCCGGAAGTGATGCCGCGGGTCGCTTGACACCAGGTCGCTTGAGTGAAATTGGCCCAGCGTACGGGAAGGCGGTGTGGTTGTATGTATATGTAACAAACACGCAATCTTTGGTGCATTTTGCTTGGATGTTAGGACTTAAACTTTTTGCCAACTAATGGGTTTTCCATTACACCGCTACTTTAAACTTGTTGCCAACTAATTGGTTTTCCAGTACACCACTAAAAAGTTAAACTTTTAGCAGGGGAGCAGAAAGCAACCGAGCAATAGGGGCACCTGAGGGCTCCGACTTTGGAACCTCTGACTTGTTTGCGTGACCAGAAACTCCCCCCGTGACTTGAACCCAGTCTAGACATTAAAAGACCTGCCCCAGCTGAAACTCACCCTCACCCCCAAAGCAAGCTCAACCAGCTTTGGTGATGTCAGTGCTGGTTGCAACTAGGGAAAGGTCGGGTTTGTGCCATTTTAGAGGCGACTACATCCCCGGCGCGTCTTTTCGAAGCAGCCAGCCATACCCCATATCCCAAGCACCCAGCCACTTCAAACTGTCGGTTGGACCCAGAGAAGAAAGTAGTTCGGACTCGTTTGCCCCTAGGTGGAGATCCAGATTGACTCCATGGGTGCCATGACCACTCTTCCAGCTGATGCTTTTGAAAAGCAGCATGCCCGGGGCCCAATCTCAGCAGCGAAAGTCCAAACTCGAAGAGGACCAAAACACAAGAGTACAAAAATAGGCTTGGTGTCCTTTCCATGACCGACCAAGTTCTGGCCTTTGGGACCTACGGAGCAATACTGTTCATTGGTCACTTTGCATCTCGTTTTGCACCTCTCCTGAGGGGAAATACATCACCCATCACCACGTGGAACTGGATACGGAACAGCCGGATGAAACCAATCCGTTTGGCACGGGTCTTATCGGCATTCAAGGATGTGTCAGGGTTAAAAAGGACCTCTCAGCATCCATATGCTCATGGTGATGTATGTATTGTTTCTGTTGGTTGCAAAGGGTTAATTTGCAACTGACACTTAGCTCTCATTGTTTAGAACTTGCGGAACTTAGTTGCTGAAGAATGCAAGCCTAGCTTCCAAGAGTACCTCAGTTTTGCCGGTGAATATAAGGATGTTTTTTTCAGGAAAGCTGACCTGAAACTGTTTCTTCTGCTCGGCAATCTTCTTTTGGAGTGGTCAGGTACTCCTTCATTTGCGGTCCTTCAGACAAATCCACTTACCAACCTGGTTGGTGGATGAGTCATCTAGTAATTTGATCTTTTTGGACACAGAGGTGCGTCACACAGCGGGAAACACTCTGGGAATGTCATAGAAGCCTTCTTCAGAGGTCCTTCTTATTGGAGGCCTTGCAACTCTGGATTGTTTAGTGGGGGTTCCAGGCGTCCGGCGGGAGCCGTTCTTGCCGCCGACATGGAGGTCTGGGTAGCGGTCTCTTGGACTGTCACCCTTGCAGGACCTGGATTTGTGAGATGGTTTGTTGCATTCGTTGGGGTGCTCCCGGCCATCAATGAAAAGCGAAGACCACCCACGCTGCTTTGCGGGGTCCTTGCTTCGAATTATAAACTGCTATAAGCCATGATTCGCTACTCGAAGTCCCTCGAAGTCCCGGAGGTTCAAGAATTGCCTTGCCCCGGGTGCTTGCCCCGTTTCCGTCATGAAAGTGGAAAGAGGTTCCAAAGAAACTCGTCTTACCACAGTTGAAAACATCAATTTTTCAGGGCCCAAAGTGAGCTTCCTTTGGGTGCTTGGTGATGTTTACAGGTTGGCAACCTAGTGGGACCTGGGCCGCCAACCGAGGTCTATCGCTTGGAGTGGAGCACCGAGGGCAGCGGACAGCTGACCTTTTGGATGGATGGAAAGCTTTTGTACAGGCGACCGCTCTCATGGTGGGGCAAGGGAGCCTAAGGTATCCTTTCTGTCTTGACCCCAATGGCAAATCCACAGAGAGGTTGCACGAGATCAAGGCGCTATTGGTCAAATCCCTATTTTTGGGATAGAGAGGTCCTTGGGAAATTGCTCATGGGCGACTTGCTTGGGTCATCCAGGTTCCATGAGCAACGGACAGATGGCCACTGGCTCCTTGGGACTGGGCACTTGACGCGCGTCACGCGCCTGCGCCGACCTCCGTCGGGAGGTTGGATGGCAAGCTTCTTGAGCGGCAGATGGAGCTGCCCTTAGTCGCTCAGGGTGCTGGTCCAGCCGTTCCGGGCCTCCGTGTCCTGGGCGCCCCGTGACAAATATGTGTAGTAATCTATAAGGATTCTTGTGTTGACTTATTTATTTGTGCAATTGTTTACATATACATGGAGAATGTGGGTTTAATTGCATGCCTAGAGAAGTAGTTGCCTTTACGTGGGTTGCATTTTCCAACGGAACCAGGATCCCAGGTCCACATAGTGTCCACTGGGGTTGACCCGCACCACACCAGATCCCCGTTGAAGCTAATTGCCCAAACACAAGGGGAAACAGTTTAAGAAGTCGTCGACTTTTGATCGGAGGTCTTGAGGCGGGCGGGTGCCAGTTTCCAAATTCAGCGGCACCCGTTCTCTCTTGTTTGGTGGGCTCCCTAAACATGAAGCCAAAGCTGCTGCAAATGGTCAACCAACAAGAATTGTTCACTTCTGGCAGGGTGGGCAATGGGTTGGGCGCCAGATCCCGAGGCTGTTACCAAGGACGGCGAGGCGGTTGGCCTGATGCTGGCTCGAAAACTGCTTTTGGAGCCGCTGGTTGGCCTTTAAGGAAGGGCGGGTTGGCCTTGGCCGAGCTGAATGGAAGCTGCACTCCCTCTTTCACTCTAACTCGAGCTGGACTTTAACAACTTTTCAGGAAGGCCACTCATTTGAGTGGCCAAGTGTTAAAACTTCTGGGCATCAGGAAGTGAGGCATGGAAGCTACAGTCTCAAGGAGCTAATGGCACCAAAGGTCCCTACTAGTCCCTACATGAAGCTTCTTTCCGGTTGAAGGAGATGGGCACAGACCCGTGAGAGATGCTGCGATGCTTTTTGCCTCCCGTCTTTTTTTTCCATCAGAGCAGTTTTCCTCTCCCTCGGGATTTCCCAGTCGCTCATGAGCCCAGTCAGTCCAACTTGTCGAGTGAGGTTCACCTTAATCTTCGCAGCTGTTCTTTCTCTCGGTAGTTTGGGCTTGGCGGTTCATGCCAACACCCACTCCTCAGACATTCCCCGTGCCTCGAGCTACAAACATTGTGTTTCCTTCGGTCAGGAGTCAACATTGGTATCCCTGGCACCGGCCGCTCCACTCAACCCTCATATGCTGGTCATGTTGACCTGATTCGCGCGCGCTTATGTGTGGAAACCTCTGGGGCGTTCCACCTGTGGCAGTGAAGCTTGTCGCTATCCAAAAAGAGGATTCATGGCAATAGTGCTGCTGCACCTTTCCAAATGGACCTGAATTCCCCTCCCTCTTCGCCCAAGCGAAACCACCCACCCACCCACCCACCCACCCACCCAGCCACCCAGCCACCCAGCCACCCAGCCACCCAGCCACCCAGCCACCCAGCCACCCAGCCACCCAGCCACCCAGCCACCCAGCCACCCAGCCACCCAGCCACCCAGCCACCCCGCCACCCCACCCACCCACCCACCCACCCACCCACCCACCCACCCACCCACCCACCCACCCACCCACCCACCCACCCACCCACCCACCCACCCACCCACCCACCCACCCACCCACCCACCCACCCACCCACCCACCCACCCACCCACCCACCCACCCACCCACCCACCCACCCACCCACCACCCACCCCACCCACCCCCACCCCCACCCACCCCCACCCACCCACCCACCCACCCACCCACCCACCCACCCACCCACCCACCCACCCACCCACCCACCCACCCACCCACCCACCCACCCACCCACCCACACACCCGGGGGCTGCGGTACCCCAACCGGGTTTTGCACCAGGAGGGGTTCACGGGAAACTTGCTTTGGGCTTGCGACTTTCTAACTCCCCAAGGGTTCCAGTACCCATTGAGGAAGGTGTTGAGTTGCAAAAGGGGTGTCAAAGTTCCACAGGAGCGGAGCTTTCCTTCCATTTGCCGAGGCCCGTATCAATGATTTTGAACATCGACGTGTCCAAGCAGTGGGGCTGGGTGCCGGCACTCAGCACCTGAAAGTTGGGACATCCAGGTCCAAAGTCTTAACTCGCAGAAGCCATGTGTTCAGATGAACCCCCCCATGTTGACATCCATTCACAGGATACAGAACCACAGGAACACTTGCAGTCCAGATTAGGGCACGAGACTGTTGGAATAGGTCAGTGTCGCATGCCGGTTCCTGATGCTTAGCAATCAGAAAGGTAGGCCTAGTAAGCGGCTCAGTGAGCGTCCGAAACCCTATTGGCCGGTTTTGCAAAGGGTTCTATTGCTGGGGATGACAGAAACGAAGGTACATGCCCCAACCATTCCTGTCAGCACCCGACGTGGTCTGCTGCGTTTGTCTGGCTGTGGGTTAAAAATGGGTACCCAAAATGGAACCCTGGAAAATGGAACCCATGACTAAAACAGGCCTTCCCTGGTGGCTTAATTTTGACCCACACCCATCTGTGGAGCTTCAGCTTGCTGGCTCGTGGCTTGTGAGATGCCTCAGGACATCGTGGAGCGGGAGTGCGGGGGCGATTGCGGTTGCTGCTTTGACTGCGGCAACCCGGAGTGCGTCTCCTGCATGCTGCAGAACCTCGGCTGTCAGGGCTTGCTCCATGTGGGCAAAGGCTGAGAACAGAGGTTGGTTTCTTGCAAAAGGCAGACGGTCGCCTTTCTTGGGAAAAAGGAGGTTGTTGAATTCAGAGCTGCTTAAACAGTTAGCCCAACCCTGCTTGAGAGCCAATAGTCGGGGCCCAAAAGAGCATGAAACCGATCGACGACCCTCGTCCATTTGTCAGGTATCCTTGTTTTCAGGTCACCCACATCAAGTGCAGGGATGAATAATTGCTTTCTTTGAATCAGTGGGGACATTCAGGACCCCACACCCAAGAGCCCTTCAAAGCACTCTTCTAAGAAGCTTCCAAAGGGGGGGAGGCTCAAAGACAAACCCAAACTTTCAAGATCGTGTAAATGGGGGGGGGGGTTGTTGAGTTTGCTTGTTGAAAGGGGTAGCAAAAGGAGAATACCCATTTGGGGGTTCCCCCGTCTCCAGCGATCTCTTTCAACAAAGTCGCTTCAGTAGAGGTTGCTCTAGCAGGAGGAGAGACTTCCACCAACCTCCAGTCAATGTCCATCTCAGTGCATAGGTTCATACCAGTCCCGAGGGGAAATCAAGCCAAAGGAAGCGGGAATGTTTTGCAGCACCCCTGCACATGTCAGCGCTATTTCCTCCAGTTGAAGAGCTGCTCAACGCCAGTAAGTTCGACAAACCACTCAGGAAACATGAAGCCTTTCTCAGTGAAAACAACTTTCCCTTCTTTGGCACGAGTTGTTTTAATTTACGCCCATGCTCATGCCACATACAGTTGGCACTCTCATGCCTCCGTCCTTGAGTTCCAAATGGGGAAGAGGGTCCCTTTGGCAAAGCTGCCTTCAACTTGAACGCCAGCCCCTTCCAGCGTGGTGTCCTGTTTGTGTGGCTTTGAAGCCATCCACAAGGGGGGGGGCGCTCATCGGCTGACCTTGGCCAAGGCAGGGCAATGGCATTGAATTCCTGCACAAGATGTGCAGGACTGCCACCTCGGTTGTGGGGGCAGATCCCTTTAACAGCCTTCCCAGTGGTATGGTTTGGGGCAGGCGGGGGTCGAGTTGACGAGGGGAGGGCAATGCAAGCCCGAGGTTCTGAAACCCTGGTGGGAGTCCGCCAGATCCTCTCAAACCTGCACCTGGCAGGACACTGCCTGCGACCTTCGAGGTAGACTACATTAGAGTCTTCCAGACACAGGACTGTCAAACATGGGTGCCACTTTCGAGAGAACAGACGGCGCTGATGTCAGGTTGGTTCTTTGCCAGTGCCAGCTAGTTGTCCAAGAGGACACCTAAGCTGCTCCTTTGTGGCAGCTATGGCGAGTGGCGAATCCAATGAGTTGACTGTAGGAAAGTCGCTCAATCGTTTAAAGCCAAATAGTTTGACCTGCACCGCGAGGAAACGCAGAGAGGAATCAGAGGTGTGTGTGTGTGTCATGCTGAGTCCATCTGATTCCCTTTTGCCAGCCAAGGTTGAAGCCCGCAAATGGGCCTGTTCACACGAAGCCCTCAATGTTCACTTGGATTCTCCCGGGACAAAGTCGGAGGAATCCCGCAAAGCCCCAAAAGGAGAACCACCACACAGCACTCTGGATGAAGCCAAAGTCATGAATGTTTACCGGGTATGAACCCAGTTTTCTAATACTGCTCCCGAATCCAGAGAATCAAACGGGCCCCAACCACATTTATGAGGTCAGGTTTCGAATGGTTGCAGCGTCTTTCCACTGACCTCCAAAAATGAGTCCTGTCCCTTGACATCCGTCTTAGACCACCTAAAGAGGGACTCCATAGCCCAGGCGCCCCCCCAGGCGCCCCAACAGGATCAGCAGGCTGAAGACCGCAAGGGCTGCTCGCCTAAGGCCCGAGTCCTTGAGCCCGATGGGGCGGGCCATGCGGTGGGGCGATCTTTTGGTTGAGGTTGAATTTTGGGCAACCGAAGCTCCCTTGAGAAGGTGGTTGGTTGATTTGCAGGTCCTTAGGGCTAAGGAGTTATGTCATCAACGTTGCCCCAAGGTTAAACGGTTGAGTGCAGAAGTACTCCCAGTCAGGAACGAGGGCGAGGCAGTTTTTGTGAAAGTCCTTGCGGCCCCAGCGGTTCAAGAGCAAGTTCTTTCGACGAGTAGTCGTTCCATTCTGTGAAGCCCATTTTGGGGGAAATGAAATGCAAGCTGAACGGACAGAACTTTGGGGGGGGGAGAAGCCGAGGAAACGCCTCGGGGTTTCCTGCAGACGGGGGCCTAGCTCGAAGAGTTCCCGAACTTGTTTTTTGGGGGATACTTTCCCCGCAAGAAGACGGACGTGTTGAAATGCAAGTGCCATGTTTTCCACTTATTGGCCTCTTTGGAGAGTCACCCCAAGCATTCCACTTGAGACACACTTCCAGAAACCCTGGGGAATCTAGAACAGTCTGAGGAAATCTAAGCAACCATTACTCGAGAAGAAACATCAAAACTCGAGTAACAATCAAACAAGTATGCAACGAAATAGCAACTGAAAGTATGATTATATTGTTAGAAGTGTATGGCAGCCCGATTTCTTTTTCAATCATCGCATTTGCTTCGCAACTTTGTGACCAGCCAAGAGAGTCATCACGCGTAGAATCTAAACCAGGCCAAACTAAGCCCCAATGCAATGCCTAAATGGCAAGGCATACAAGCAGAATGCAAGAAGGTGTGTCAAGCGGCTTGGACATTCAACTGGCCCATCGGTGGCATAGATGTGATGTGTCCAGCATATGACAGCATTTGCCAGCCTGACAAGCCTACCAGCCAAATTCGGGGTGCACGTCTACAAAGGGGTCGGCTTTCCAGCTTTCTGATTGAGAAGCGGATACTTACACCTAGAAATGTCGCACTCGGATGACGAAAATGGTTCTCTCCTTCCCTTTGGCTACTTGACAAAGCCCGCATGTGTTGGCAAAGCGTTTATCCACTTGTGCAAAAATTTGGCGCATGGGAGTTGTGCCATGATCCTTTTGGATTCCCTTCGGAACCCCAAAAGCAAGAGTTCAAGACATCGACAGGTGGCGCCTACGCAGGGATGGATCGATAGCCAAAGCTCTCTCTTTGTGCTGCCCAACTTTGATGCGCCTTTGCAGCCGCAGCCTTGGACGCTGAGTGGACCCGAGTGGACCCCAGTCAGTTCGGTTCCGCTTAGGTGCTGGCACAGAATGGCTTGGTGGGAAGAGGGGTGCACATTCTCTCAGTTCGGCTCATTGGTCGTTCGGTGGAACCTACCCTACTCAGCAGGACGTCTCATTTCGGCACATCGTTGTTCTTACTTTGGTCTCATTTGTTCTTCCTTTCTGATTCTCTCAGTTCGGCTCATTGGTCATTCGGTGGAACCTACCCTGTAGCAGGACACCTTAGGCGGCATATCGTAGGAAACAAGATGGCAAGGCTCTCAAGAGGCGCTTTGCCCAATTCCGTGTGCTAAGCAAAATCGGATCGCAATTTGTTGACACCTGGATAGTTAATCAAAGTAGTTGACTGACTCCTTTTCATGGTATGGCTATGAGTCGGACACTTTTGAGTTATTCTGTTCGTCCAGGAAGGCTGGTGACATAGATTTATGGTTTGCCTTCTGGTGTGAAGCCAGAAACGGGCGGTTCTCTCTGGCTTCCCTTTCAATCAACGCCCAAGAGGGGTAGACATCGGAACTTTAAGGTGGGTCAATAGTTCTGTTTCATACTTGCTTGACATCTCAACAAGTGGCCCCGCCCCTCCTCCCCTATTCTGTCTACCCTCGGTGCATTGTAAGCTTAGTGTATGTGCCTCAGCAGTACGTTCATCAGACATGAACTCTAAGTGCATGGAGGTCTTAGGTGTGCAGCAGTGCGCAGCATCCCTCACAAACTCCAGAAAGCAGCCTACGCAGCCCCCCATTTAGGGGGCGTCCAAGTGGGCAAGCAAGAAAGCGCCCAAAGCTCCAAATAGAAGAGAGAGAGAGAGAGAGAGAGAGAGAGAGAGAGAGAGAGAGAGAGACGCATCGCCCTGAGCCCCCCTGTCCAACCACGAGCATTGGCACCCCAATATCCCGAAAACATGCTGCAGGTTTCGGGAGCTCTTTAGGCCTCCAGCCTTGTAGCGCTGAATACATTAAGGCCTGCCCCTAAAAGATAGGCAAGCACCACAACACTGAGCCGGAGACGCAGCAGAATGCCCGAACAGCAAACGCCAGCTCGGGCTATATCGCTGCGGTGAACCAGTAGCCTCGCGAATCCTGAAACTACAGATCACATGGCGAATGGTGCTTCAGCAATTACCAGTGCGAACATCGCCGGCAGGGATCCTATGAATTATCATGGAAGTGCCAGTGAACTCATGATAGCTGGTGCATTTTGCTTTAACATTCTCATGGGATGCGGTTTGCCCAACATGTCCTTTGTAGAGGTAAAAAGGGGTGCCAAGGTTCAGCCTGACTTTCATGAATCCCAGCGTGTGTCCATCCGTTTGTTTGCCGTAGAGCACCGCAGGCCAGTCTATGCTGGCGGGGCGCGATGCCAAGTAGACACCAACTGCGGCTCCAACTCAGGCGGATTGAGTTGACCGAGTTTTGTGGCCACGAAAGGTGAAAGGCCGAGCGTGTCGTGTTGCTGTTGCTGCTGCTGGTGCTGTTGTTGAGTAGTTAGTTGGTTTGGGTGTTGCTGCTGCCGCTGCTCATGTCGCTGCTGCTTAGGTTGCTGCAGCTTATGTTGCTGCTGCTTATGTCGCTTTTCCTCCTCCTCCTCCTCCTCCTCCTGCTTCCTGCTTCTTGCTCCTTCTGCTCCTCCTGCTGTCGCTTTGTGTTGCTTACTGGGGAATGCTAGTTTGCTTGTTGGCGCGTAGGGTAGGCTTTGGGAGGGGGAGGGTGCAATTGTATGCATATGTATATATATATATATATACATGTATGTATCTATATAGTGTGTGAGTGTTTCGGCTGAGGTTTGTCAAATACAATCGGATAAGCCCTGGCCCAACATTGCAAAGCATTCCCTTGCCGCCTTTAGTGTCCAAAGTAAGACTCAAGTCGAATGCTTGGTGACTTCCTCCATTGCTACAAGTGAACCAAACGCACTGAACCACAAACGTGCTACCTTACTTGCGCTACTTGCGCTACTTGCGCGGACCCCTGTCGCAACCTTTCGCCTGGGAGGCTCGGGCACTTGCCTGGACGGCGTGTGCCGCTGCCACGAGGGCTGGACTGGCCCCTCTTGCTTAGCCCGCCTGGCGGGGGCCGCCCTGGCCTGCCGGCCTCTGGACCGGAAGCCGCCGGGAGTGGGGGAGAACGAGCCCAGTGCCTTTTTAAGAAGTTGTGAGCCCGAGAAAACGTTTTTCTGTTCCACTTTGTAGTGGCCGCATATTCCGTTAAACCCGTTTATAGTAGTTTCTCGGGGACTGGAGCCTCCTGAACAACCCGCCAGCCTGGAAACGGCGCTCAGCGGCGTTTGCCGAGGAAACTGGCGCTTCGGCTGGCCTTCTTTCACCGGTCCTTCCTATTCTTCACGCCGTTGTGGCAAAGCCGCGGTGCGCTGAGCAGGTGTTCTTACCGTTTAGCAGGCGTGCGTGCTGAGTGAGCCATGCGCGAGTGTGCTCAGCGTACTGAGCCGGCGCGCTTGGGCGGGTGCACTTGTCAATTGGCAGGCGGGCGGGCGTTGTTGCTGGCGAGCCCAAAAAAGCGGCGCACTTGCGCGGTCTAGCTTGTCTCTTGGCAGTGTGCGAACTTGCGCAGTGCTAAGCGGGCGCGCTTGAGCGTGGACAGGCGTGTGTACGTTGCCTAGCGAGCGTTTGCTTGTCAATTGGCAGGCGCGCGCGCGCGTAGCGCGTTGTCGTTTTGGGCTGCGCCCGTGCGGCGCAGACTGGGCGCACTTGGCATCCGCAGTCGAACGGGCGCGAAGCAAGACAATGCCTACTAGCTCGGTTTTTGGACTGCAGGCGTCAACAAGCAGCCCGGTAGAACCGAACAGAGAGGACCCGGAGATCTTCCTCATACGCTTCTTGTTGCAATACCTTGAAGGTAGGTTTTTTGCAGGAAGGACCTGCGAGTGAGAACCCAGCATTGGGTTCGCTTTCGCTGGGCGGTGCACAGGCAAGTCGGCAAGTTGGATCGCTTTCATGGGCTCAGAAAATCGGCTTCTTCTGCAGAGGGTCTAATGCAAAAGGAGGCATCTTTGGTTTCTTTGTGCCAACGGCTCGACTACGCGATTTCTTGAACAAATCTTGAAACGCCCGGGCCAGTTTCCAACTGAGAACAAGACACAAACTACATCAATCTTCCTTAGCTACCCGCATTTTGACTCCTCCTCCGGCCTTGACAAAGTAAAGCTTCAGTTTTGCTTGGCCCCAGATTGAAGAAATCTGCCCAAGACCCCCCCCTGCTTACAAGCTTTTGAAGGCTGGGATTGGCGGAGTGAATGATCGTGTTGGCCCCAGGTCAATTTGCCTGGACGGCTACTACTCCTCAGGAAAATGAGCCTGCTCTCAACGGGGAACCCGTGTTAGGCAGCGAGCCAATCAATTCGCGTTATAAGCAGTGCAAGATGACCACGCGCCTAGCTTTCATTTTGCGATCCATCTCTAAAAAGAAACCCCGGTGGTTTTTAGTTGGTGGTAGGCGGTAGGGCACGTGTTTAATGGGGCTTGATTTTGGAGCACAAAACGACCAACATCCTGCAGGAGCTGGAACTGGTGGGCGGCGGGCCCTGCTTTGTGAACTCCACGCACGACAATTGCGGACTAGGTGCGGGCACGGGGCACTTCCCTGGGCTGTTTGAAGACAACGTGCCGCTTGTGTGGATTGTTTAACATCACTTGTTGGAGCATTTTTGTTTTGCGCTCGCCCCCCCGCTCCCCCTCCAGAAGGCCAAACCTCAGATTCAGCGTGTTCCAGGGGAGAAGGTGGTCTGAAGGAGAAGGTAGTTGTAGGTGGCCTGGAATCAATGATTTGTGTTTGCGGGAAAGTGATTTTGCCGAACGAGCCGTACTACTTAGGGGGCCAGACGTTAAAACATGTTTAGCGTTGGAACGGAGGTTGTTATTAACCCAATGTTAACATTAGGATACATGATGAAGGTGGGCTTGCGGGGCGGAACAACCAATCGTTTTGGCGGGACAAGAGGCAAGGGCCATCAAGGGAGGGCCAGAACCTTCCTGCGGCTTCTCTTGTTATGGCTCTACGTCAGCGCGAGAAAATTTACACACGCGCACACGCACGCACACGCACGCACGCACACACACACACACACACACACACACACACACACACACACACACACACACACACACACACACACACACACACACACACACACACACACCCTCAGGTACCTGTGTCGAGGTGAATCGCCCTTGGGACGCACCGTGGATGCTCGGCCTGAAGATGGTACCCCGCCCCTTTATGTCTCAAAACAACCACTCAGGGAGTGCTGAAAAACGTGCATGGATACACCTCTTTGGAGGAATTAAGGATCACTGTTCCACAAGTGAGGCAATGAGTTTCTTTCGGAATGTGTTTGAAAGGGGCATAGCTACAATGATGCCGCCCCGACGTGGATTCCCCGGAAGTTTTCTGCAGGTTCTCCAGCCACCCCTCGTGGACTCCCCGAGTTCCTCCCCGAAAGTTCGACGGCCGACCCCCGAAACCCGCGCTGGTTGACCGAAAGTTCCCCCGCCGTTTCGAGCGATGACTGCGCGTCTCGTAACCTTGAAACTGAGAATGGCAATGGGCGCAAGGAAACAGGCCTTGGTCTGCCAGCCGCTTAACTGTGTGAGAGCAAGTCTTCAGTGCCTTGTGAGACCAGGGCTATCCTTTCCACCCCGTTTTTTTCGCCAAGAGCAAGAGTTCCCCAAAAATCTGGAAACCCTTGAAGGGGGGCCCTCCAGTTGTCCCAAAAATCTGGAAACCCTTGAAGGAACCCCCCAAAAGCTGTCCATTCGATCAAAGGGAAACGCACTGTGAAGTTGTAATGCGCCGGACTGAGGCAAACTGTCAAAGCCTCGAGCGGGCGCTTTGTGCCCGCGGGCAGTGGAGACGGTCGCTGCAGCTGCCCAAACGGCTGGAAGGGCCCCTTTTGCGCGGTGAAGGAAGAAGGCCGGGCCTGCACGCAGTCTTCATCTGGCATTTTGGTTGGATGGATGGATGAATGGATTGCTTTGCTTGCTTCTTTCATGGATTTGTTAACAGGTTGATGAACGGACAGACGTATTGACGGATGGATGGGATGGGAGGGCAGCGGAGGGGATGGGATGGGATTTGATGGGATGGGGTGGATGCATGGCGGGATGGGGGCATGGATGCATGGATGCATGGATGCGTGGATGCATGGATGCATGGATGCATGGATGCATAGACGGGCGGACGGACGGATGGACGGATGGATGGATGCATGGATGGAGTAGTTTACATACTTTGTTAATGGAGCTTTACGTGTTGGGTTGGGTTGGATTGGATTGGATCAGGGACGGATGGATGGATGGACGGACGGACGGACAGACGGACCGACGGACGGGACGGATGGCTGGATGGATGGGTTGTGTGAATGGTTAATCTTGTAGTTTGATTGTGTCATGCATTGGTTGGCTGCCTAGTTGATTGATTGAGTGATTGATTGATTAATTTGGTTGCTTCCTTGATTGATTGCCGGATTGTTTGGTTGCTTGATTTGACATCAACTGAACTGAATTGGATTGATTGGTTGGTTGGTTGATAGATTCATTGATTGATTTGATTGGTAGGGTGGTTGGTCGGTTGATAGATTGATTGGTTTGATTTGGTTTGATTGATTTGATCGATTTCTTTGATTTATGTTGTGCTCTTTGATTTGATTAAGTCGATCTGATTGATGTGGTGGATTTGATTGTTTTGGTTGGTTTTAATTAATTAGTTGGATTGATTGGATTGATTGATTTGATTGAATTGATTGAATTGAGTGGATTGGTTGGATTGATTGGATTGGATTGATTGGATTGGATTGGCTGGATTGATTGGTTGGTTGATTGGTTGGTTGATTGATTGATTGATTGATTGATTGATTGATTGATTTTATTCGATTTTTTGTCATTTCATTTCATTTGATTTGGTTGATTTGATTGATTGATTGACTGATTGATTGATTGATTGATTGATTGACTTCATTTCATTTGATTTGATTTGATTTTATTTGATTTGGTTCATTGATTGACTGATTGACTGATTGATTAATGGATGGATGGATGGAGTGAGGGATTGAGGGATTGATGGATTGATTTGATTGTTTTGATTGATTGATTGATTGATTGATTGGTTGGTTGGTTGATCAATTGATTGATTGACTGACTGACTGATTGATTGATTGATTGGTTGGTTGGTTGGTTGATTGATTGATTGATGATTTGATTTCATTTCACTTCATTTGATGGGTTTGATTGTTTTTGTTGTTTTGTTTCGATTTCTTTGATTTCCTTGTTCTTTGATCTGATTGATTTTATTGGTTTGGTCAATTTTATTGCTTGGATTGATTGACAGATTCAAGTGAGTTGATTGATTGATTGATTGATTGATTGATTGATTGATTGATTGATTGATTGATTGATTGATTGATTGATTGATTGATTGATTGATTGATTGATTGATTGATTGATTGATTGATTTGTTAATTGCTGGTTTGAGTTGATTTGATAGGAAGGATCGATGGATCGAATTAGGCGTCTCCAAAGTTTGGAACCACCCACATGGTGTGTGGGAAGCGTTGAGGTGAGGAGAGCAAAGGCTGGCACAACAAAGCGTGCCTCGGCGTTCGGTCCGCGAGTCACGAAAGGGTTACTAGCGCTGACTGCCAGAACTTGGCAAAATTGCCGTCTAGATTATTCAGAAGCTGTTGGATTGTGGCGTTTCATGTTTGCATAGCCCATGAGTTCACGTTTCCTCCTGAAGAAGTCACCAAGGGGTAGATATGTTCAGAACCACGTGGAATAGCTTGATTGGGGACGGAGGCAGAAACATGGATATTACCTGCAAACACCCACGCCCAGGCCTTTGAGTGACATGCGAGCGGCAAACCCACACTGAGGCTAAGAAAGAGCATTCTGGCCATGAACGTTATCCAATGGGAAAGCAAGATCAACCCAGCATTGCAAACCAACAGCTTACATTCACGCAAAGAATTGACATCGCAATGTCACCGCGCTGCGCATAGATTCACGCACGGACTTTTTGGGGGGAAGCGGCCTCCCTCCCTTCCTCGGCCAACAAAGCACCATGAAAGAGCAAATGAGTTTCGGACACTAGTCGAAAGCATACAGTATGTGCAAACAAGCGTCTTCCCTCACTCCCTCCCCTTCCGCTTCACAACCACGAGTCCAGCAAGTGACTGACATGAGTTCCTCGCTGCTTGGCTCACGCATACCAACTGAAGCGCGGCGAGTGCATCATTGCCTGCCAAGCGGCTTGTCCTGGCTCTCGTTTAGGCAGGGTGTCTCCCTTTCAAGCGGAAACTCGCGGGGGATTACTTCGGTTTGGGTGGGAAATGGTGGGAATGTTAGCAAGTTCAGCACGCTCAAATACTCAACACGTCCCAAGAATGCGTGGAAGGAAACACTGTCCTGTGCCAAAATTGCAAAGATCATTTGCGAAACGTGCCTCGCACACTACAAACGTAAAGGCCTAGTTGATTGGATTTTTGGGGCTGGTGGGGTCACTTCCTCTTGAAGGCTACCGTCATGCAAGTTACTTGGAGCAAAGAAGCATGTGGTTTGACAATCAGAGAAAGATAGCCCGAGGGCGAGCTACTTCCAATTGGCTGTTCCACCTTTGCCCAGGCCAAGATTATGCAAATTTCCTAACACAGACAAAATACGGTTGCCATGAACCGGAATGGAATCCAGGCTTCAGATTGCTTTGGATGGGAGTTGCTGGAGAGGGGCGGTGGGGAAAGTTGAGTTCGAGTCCCCAGGCAACAGACATGGCCGGAGTTCCCATGCCTTTGTACGTGTTTGCCTTTGCCTGTGCACCTTGACGTTCCCATTCACCCAGCAAACATGTTGTTGCTTATTGCAGTTGCTCAGGCCCATTTGAACCAACAAAGATGTGTCTGGCTGGGCCAATGCTAGCTCGATGCCACTCGATCCCACTGGATCCGAGGTGCGTGCCAGACTCCCGTCTCAGCTCACCCGAGCTGGAGAGGTTGATCGCCAAGATTTGCCGCAAGTGGATCATCGATGGCACGGACATTGGCAACGACAAGGTGCCAACAAGACGATGCTTAGTTGGGCGATATGTCCTTTTGCCCAAAAGGAAGCTCAGAAAGGGATGGCATGGTTGCTTTGCTTCGGCCGCCCTTCTTGATGACCTAAAATGGCGCGATGCCAGCTGAACAGCCGATATTTATAATTGACCCCCCCCCCAAAAAAAAAAGGTTTAAACGCCAGGCCTCCCTTTTCTTCGACACCAGAGAGACGCCTTTGCATGTGGTGGAAGCGGTGTCCTGTAGGGTTGCAGCAGACCGAAACCTCTGGCGCCAGGTGTCAAAGGCTTGCTCCGAGATCGTGTCTTGGCTCCGATTACCCTTACCCCTTTCGTTGGGTAACATTCCCATCCTACTTATCTACCAATGAAAGGGGGTGCGCATTCTACTTTCACTCTGAACGCATAGTTAGGTGGATCCCATTTGTTCAGGGTTGTTTATATGCATTTCCGCATGGTTGCCCTTGGTTGAGAAAAGGCTGGCAGGGCCAGACTCAGGTTTCCACAGAACTGGTTCAAACAGCCAACCCGACGTGCACGGAAACCTCAATGAGGATGCGAAACTGGAGATCTGGCGCGCATCACCGGTTGGGCCAATCAGCGTCATGTTTCTGCTTTGGAGTGGGCATGGTCCAAAGGTTTGTGGCTGGGAAGAAGACATATCAGGAAGCCTGGTTTCCGTCAATCTCTCAGTGGTCGGTGAATCAAGCACGTTGGTCGTGGTGCATATTTGAAGCCTTGACGTATCTCAAGCCAAGAGCCTTGACGCAACCGCCCCGACCACTCCCCCCCTTCGTGCAACTTGGCTCAGGTGTGGCAGTCTAAAGGCCAGTTCTCCACCTGTGGGACGTGGCCCCGCGCTTCCTGGCTGGTGCAGGCGGGGTTCTTTACTTGGAGCCCGTCCCAAAGTTCTTGGTGTGTTTCTGGTAAGACGCCGCGACTCTAGAAAGCTGGGAGCAATTTCTCAAGACTGACCTTTGGACTTTGGACCTTCTGAGCTTTTAGCCCAAAGGATCCAAGGGGTGAAGTTACTTCTGGGTCGTTTTTATGTCACGTTCATCATTTCACCGCATGAATGATCGAATCTTGGGGGAAGGAATCATGTTGCCCCGATGTTGGGCGAGAGCTTCTAGGCTTCTGCCCGTTTCGGCAGGCGGTCAAGGCCGAAAGGGGGCTGTGCTGCACGTTGCTTGGCACGTCGAGCCGGCAAGTCTCTCTCGGGTTGGGCTGCGTGGCAAGTGCTCCACCAAGGTGGAGGGTTGGCTTACGCATTCAGCCTCAGGGCACATGTCCTTTGGTTGGGAAAGAGCAATGCACATCAACAAGGGCCTGATTTCGAGACAGGGGGCATATTATGCAGCTGTGGTTCTCAGGTGCCCAAACTTTGTTGAAAGAAGGCAAGTTGTTTTGCAGGGTGTTGAGCCAGCCATCGGTTTAAAGTCGGGCTAGGTGTTTGACATGTTACGCGCATCAAATCGCGTGCGGCTACAAGCCTTGTAGTTATGTTGCTGGAAGTTGAAGCTGTGCCAAGCTATCAGCGTTGAGGCAAGGTTGTAGCAGGAAAGCAGGAGCTCAGGCTTTATAAGTGGGATCCCTATCCTGATGTGGGAACCCGAAACTGGGTTTTCGCCAAACGAAAAGTCCTGGATTTGGTGTGAGTAAACCTGTCCATTTGTTGGAATCCAAATGGGGTGGACCTGTTTCAGGATCCAAAAGCAAGTTGCCACGTAAAAGATGCATTTTTTTTACGCTTTCAGGAGTGGCTTGGTGCTGGAGATCTCGTTTTACCATCGGGTGGCATTTAGTTGGGAATGCAACAGCGGCGCTTTCGGAGTCGCACAGAACGGGTCTTGTTCTCCAACTGGAACTATTCAGGCAGACTGAGACGGCGGCGGACACAAGGATAGAGAGACGCAAACAGGGACAGGGACAAACCCAGTGACGGAGACAGACAAGGAGACAGAGAGGTTATCTGCAGACTAAGGCGCCTGGATGATCAAGGACGCGAAATCTGCTTCGAAGATGACGCGCAGCTACTTGCAGTCAACACAAATAGCAAGGTGCAGATACGCAGGTGACCCTTTGGGTGTATGCGTGCGATTGCGTCTTCTGGCAAGGGAACACAAAGCTCCCGTTTGGGCCCCAGGCTTGGAAGGATGTCCCTATGAGGGTGGCCGCATGTGAAGTCGCATTTGTTGTTCTGGTATTTTCTGATATCTGAGGTTTGACGTGCTTGCGGCCGTGGCGCCAGCCTCAGCATGTTTGCCAGATGCGCCTAGGCCTTGTTGCGGAGGAGCTCAATTTCGCAGGTCTTATTTGTTTCAGGATTGAGATGGGTGAGCTGAGCTTCCAGTGTTCGTTGTTTGCTTTCTGGAGGGTTGGACCATCAAACATGAAAGGACAAGGCCGCGACTGCATTTCAGACACTCATCCTGCATCGTCAAGCCAGGTTCAGTTGATTACATAAAGAAATTGAACCCAAGGAGTTCACAACAAGCTTGGGGCACGACTTTGACAAGGCTTCAGCAAGGGAGGTGAATAAGCTGTGGGCCCCTCGACCCGCCCAGCACTCGCTGATCGAAAGCCCTTCAAAGCCTTTCGCCTCCGCGGCTTGCAACAGGCCGTGGGATCGCTGGCGCTCATGGCGGTGCTGAGCTGCCTTCGACAGGCTCACCTACGAGGCACTTGGGAGCAGGTCAGAAACTGCCAGCGCACTGGAGAAAAATCCACTCGGATCACTCGGACGGTCATTGGGGCGCCCAATGCGTTTCGATCGGGGCGCGTGACGAACCGGCCGTATGGCACGACGGACGCTGTCAGCCACCTGGCAGGAGGCCTGTTCTCGCGAAAGGCGGAAAGGGCCTCGGCCAATGGGCCGGGAGCTAAGACTTCGAGTGGATGTTTTTCATTTGAGCCAAGGGTAGCTCCCGATTTCTTGGGCAGGGGGAGTAGTAGGAATTTGGTGATGTCATGAGATTGAACTGTCCCCCCGTTCCTTCACTGCATGGGATGATGTTACATATCGCGGTCTATATCCCAATTGGAGACACTTCTCTTTGGGAGCATTCGGGAACTTGTTTTGCCCAAGCCAAAATGAAACCAATCAGAGAGGCCTGGTTTTGACAAGCCCTGAGCACGATCGAAACCAAGATTGATTAAGGAAATGCTGCTCCCAGGATCCCCGAGTTTGGGTGTTTTATGGATCCAACTCTGCGAGGTTCAACAAAGAAGATGACAGCACGGAGGACACAGAGACCGAAGATGAGGTCTGGCCCTGAAATCTCTCGCCCCAGTTCAGCATCGCCGGTTGGTCAATTGGGCTTGCGTGGGACCTGTGCCGATCTGAGGGGGTCATGCTGAAAAAGCAGTCGCAAATGCCTCGCAAACGCCTTCGTCTCGGCCGCGTGTGAGGCCAACGGCTTCTCAGGCAGTGACAGCGAAGATTCCCATTCTTCGCGGCCATAATGCGACCGGCCATGACGTCTTCCAAGAACCAAACTTCTTGGCATATGGGAGCAAGGGAGCTAACCAACAGCAGATCGACAAAGCTATGTGCATGACATGGGTGGGGCATGCCTCCAAGTAGGAACCAAGTATCATGCACGCGTTTCACCCTTTAGGCTCGTCGATTATGAGACGACTCCCGCACCTGCTTTGCCTCGGTTCTCAAAAGCCAATCCTTTCAGCTTTTTTTCGGGTTTTCCATGTTGGTTACCCAAAAGCTCAAACTTTAGTTCAAGGTGCTGTGGGCAGGCGAGTTGCAGAAGCAGGTGAGCCACATGGATTTTCCATGGTTAAGCCAAAAAAGAAGAAGCGTGCATGGAGTTTGATCTTGCCTTGACGCCGCTTGACGCGCCTTCCGCGCGGAGTCTCCCTTTAACTTACAATATTAATTGCGAATTAAGCAGTCATTGGAGATGATTTTCGAATAATCGAGCATAGCGTGTAAACAAATACGTATTCCATAGACGATGTACAATGCATTATCAAAGAAGAATAGATGGTTATATTGATAGCTAGATTAGCTTATAATGAAAATAATTGGCATTAGGATTATGAGTCTTTATTAATAGTATTTTAATGAATGGGAATTTTCAATGATTAATATCGGTTATATTATACATTAAAAACATATTAATTTGAGATATGAGGATTTTTTTATTTTTTTATTTAAATGTTGTTTATTTATTAATTTACGAATTTGGAAGGAATAGTAGGATGAAGAAGAAAGGAAATGATTGTATGGCGATATATTTGTTTGTTTATTTATGAATGAAATTTGATTGTATATATATGAATATGTTTAGTATTATTAGTTTTATATTTTTTACTAAATATAATAAGGAATTTGAGATATGATTATTTTAATATTTGGGTGGTTGGTTAAATATAATATTATTTTTTTGAATTTGTGTTTGTAATATTGATTAAATATTTGAAATGTGTAATTATGCGATAAACAATTTTATTACTATATATTTGTGGTTAATGGAAAATTATGTTTTGTCTTTTGTAAATTATATTTATGAATATATAGATGTTTATTGATTGATAAATATATTTATGAATTAATATATAATATTATTTAATTGATACTAATTAATATACATAAATATAATTGTATTAATTTAATGATATAATTTTAATAAATTAATTATATATTTTTTTATTTGAATATAATATATATTAATTATATTATTTAGATATTAATAATACATAATATTTTTTAATATTAATATATTGTTTGTATAATTATATATTAAAAAGAATATAAAGGAAAGATACCATTATAAAATAGATGATTTTTGAATTTCTATTATAATGATTTTTTATTATAACGAAATTGTTCAACATATTTATATATTTTTTTTTCCCCCCCCGGATTGTTTCCCGAAATATTATCGTCGAGAAGATTTCGCAAAAAAATGGTTTGGAGTATAAGTGTCGAAATATCCGGTATATCCCGGAAAAATGGTCCGGGCTTTAAATGAAGCCGTTATGATTTCCAAAAAAAGAATCGGAATATAGATTTGTTTGTTTATAGCAATTTTGGTTGAAATCTTGCCCCTATTTTCCGAGAGTTTGGCGATATGAGAAACTCTGATATTTATGGGGCGATATTAATTCGGCTTTGCTTATACTTAGGATAATTTCTGGTCGATTGCGTTCTCGTTTGCGCTTGTAATAAGTATGTATGTGGATGGATCTTTTGATGTTATTAATCCGTGGGTCCGTTTTACCTTGTTTAGGCGATTGTTTTTTACTGATTCAGTATTGCGACCAGTCCGGCCCTCACTATGTTTCGCGACTTGTGTTTGGAGAATGGCATGTTTTTCGTATGCGAAGAATATGTATTTTTCGATATATATATAATATAATAAAATATATGGTGTTTGAGTTGCAAAATATGGCTTGCTAGCGCGGGCTCTATAAGATTTGTTCTGTTCTTGGCCTTCACGGCTTGGACCTTGGCCCCTGAGAGTTCGGCTTATGTGATGCTTTGGGAAAAGTGCATGTGATGTTTTGCGGATTCTGGTCTCGGTTTGTGGATTGTTTTTGATGGATTGGAATATCTTACAATTCTTTCTTATGATTGTATTGATTTTTTTGGCACCCATCTTAATTTACCCGTAATTGTTGGTTTGGATTGGTGGCTTGGGGATTGATCCTCTGGATTCTGTTGAAATTAAATGGGCAACCATCTCCTAACCTCCAAAATACCGATCCAAATTATTAGTCTAAACCAATAATTGGGGCAAGCTGATATTGCGCAGGCCAACCTATATAAATTCATGAAGTCCAGCTGATACTGCGTAGGACAGCCTCTATGAATTTATGAAGTGCAGGGCCCGCATGTCGCGCTTAGGTGCGCGCAATACCCGAGAGCAAGCTTCGAAATAATATGTCTTAGACTATGCAGGCTGGATCGCCTCAAGTCTGAGCAATTTGGCGACAGAGGCTGTTGATATGTATCACCGGGATATGAAGCCCGTAAAATCTCCTAGTCGTCTTGGGTCTGCCACCACGGCCTGGATTTTGGCCCCTGAGAGTTCGATTTATACGATATTCCATCAAATTTTCTAGATATTGTTTGATAGCCAGCTGAGCCTTTTCATAAATCCACATCAAGTTTAGAAAGCGCCGGCGCAAAGTTGTGGACGCCTTATTCAATAACGAAATCCAACTTACCTCATTTATAAAGGCTTTGTGAGGGCATATCCTAGGCTTATGCTGGAATATCTTCAATTTGTCCGAGCTACTCCGGGCCTATATCCGGAAGATATAATAATTTCATTTTTTAGAGGGCCCAATTTCCCGAAATATTTTAGATATTTTTGGAATATCGTAGTCAGTTACCATTTTCTCGAAATATTCCAAAACCGTTTTTCGTTTAGTATGTGTTTGGTCTATCTGCCTATTTTTGTCTTTATGAGTATGGTTATATATATATATATCTGTTTATAATTATTAGTTGGAATATTTTATTATTATTTTTTTATCTTATAATTCTGTTATTTTCCTATTAGGTTTTATCTCGCACGTTGTTGGAAAGTAACGGGCCCCCGCTAATATATATATATATATATGGAATAAAATGTACGATATAATTTATTTTAAAAAAATGATATGATTTAAATTCATTTTTGCCGAATTTATATAGATAAATAATATATAATCTAATTTTATATAAAAATCAATATATTATTAAGAAAAATGGAATTATATGGTTTAATTCTAGAATTAATATATATATAATTTGGATTTATGAAATATAATATAAATTGATATAATTTATATAAATATTTCAAATTTGTAGTTTATAATATAATCAATATAAATTATTTATATTAAATTAATAATATATTTAAATATAATTTTACAATTTATTTTATAAATTAATAAAATATTGATTTAGAAAAAACAGATATAATTTATTAATTTATAATATAGTTTAAATCCAAAATAAATCGAATATATATATATATTGGAATGTCCGAATGGATCTATCTGTGCTTACAAATACAGCATAGCTGGCGCCACCAACACTTGGTGCCTAATTGCTTAAGGACCTAGGGGCAATCTCAACCGTCTCATTATGTGGTAGTTGCTTGGCCAATCCGGTTAAGAAGCGAAATAGAAAAATAAAGAGATAGTGCGAAAATTCATTAGGCCAATAAACGTCGGTGTAACATTTTAGCAGAGCAATAAAACACATAGCGGCAATAATCAATCATCAAATCCTAATATATCCGTTTAAAACCCTCCAATAAATTTTAGTCAGGCCGCTGATACTATGTTCCTTATAATAAATTCAAAGAACCATAGTTCTTATCCTAAGAAAACAACATCGGACATGCAAAAGCAAGTCGGTAGCCCTGCCCAGGAAAGATGTTCTCCTGTATATAATTCCAGAATATAATTGTTAATTCTAGGAATAATAAATATATAATTGAAATATATAATATACTAGAATCCTACCCACAAATCCCCAATTAAACTCTCCAATTTATATGTTTAAATAAATTTTAAATCTAAATAAAAAATAATATTAAACAAATATCTAAATAATTATATATTACATAAATTATATAAAATATATTAATATGTTCTTATAGAATTTCAAAAAATATTTTGTAAATATTACCTCAACCTCAAGGTCGTCATCCCGAAATTATCTAAATAAAGATCCCAATAATTAAATTACAAAACATAAAAATAAAACAAATTCCAAATCAATAATTTTTAATTAAACATATTTCATGTTTTATTCACCTATCAATTTCATTAATTTCATGAGCTTCAATAAGTCTCGAAAATATAACAGATTCCATCAAAAATATCAATAACATTATTAAATATAATAATTCATAAAATAATATATTTTATTATATATTCATTTTTTTTAAATATTATAATTAATATTCAATATTTAAAACCATATCAATTTAATTTAAGTTAAATTTGTATTCATATGTTTGTGTTTTATGAATTCAATTACATTATAATTAAATTTTAAAATAAAAATAATATATAATTCTAAAATTAATATAAAATTATACATATACCCTATTCAAATTTAAATTTATATATTCATCACCAATATATACATGTTTTTTTTTTTCAATAATATTATATTCAATAAATATTTTATTCATTAATTTCAATTATAATTAAATATTTATAATATAATTTAATTTTAAAAATAATTATTTATCAAATTTATATATTTTTATAATATATATATATATATTTTTCATGTTGTTTCTTTATAATTCATTTCTTTGATTTTTAGATTAACATATTTATTATTTAATATATATTTAATTTATAATTTTATTTATTTTTCCCGCGTTGTAACTCCGGCACCAAAACCTTTGAAGAACTAAGATGGTGGGCAGTGGCGGTAAGCCCAGGCGCGTTTCGCCAAGTGTTGGAGTATGGTTGGCGCCCCGCATCGCACGTGCCATCCCTTTGGGAACAGTCGAATTGTCACGCTCACAGGAATCACGCTGCAGCCTGCCATGAAACGGTGGCGATGCAATACATGAGTTGCAAAAAGAAACCCAGCGGATGTTGGGAATTGTCTGTGTCTGGTTTTGCAGCAACTATTCAGTCACCCACGGCAAAGAAAGCGTTTGTGTCTGATTCAGGTTTGCTCGAGAGCTCGGTGAATACATAGCAGCAGTAGGTAGTCGTCGTCATACTCGTAATTTAAAAGTCGTAGTAGCAGCCGCCGACGTAGTAGCCGTAGCAGTCGTAGCCGTAGCAGTGGTAGTCGTAGTGGTTGTAGTAGTCGTAGTAGTCGTAGCAGTCGTAGTAGTCGTGGTAGTCGTGGTAGTCAGTAGTAGTAGTAGCTGTAATAATCTTCCTATTTGTAAACGGACCCCCAATAATAGAAACCTCCAGCCAACCTAAAAAATTGCCAATGCCAACTTTAAGTTACTCAATATATACTAAACTCTCTGCAAAACAGATGAACTCAGCCAAGCTCCCCAAATGCGCTTATTAGCTGGAGAGGTTTTATTCTTACAATCTCCATTACGTTCCCTTCATAAGGTCTCACTCAAAACTTGTACTCCGAGCGCGTTTTCCTTTCAAACCAATGCTTTGCCTGCAGGAGGTGTTTTCATTTTACGGTCTCCACTAGGTTCCCTGCACAAGGTCTTACTCAAAAGTCGTACGCAGCCGCTCGCTGTTCAGTGGAGGCAATGGGGCAACTGCAAGGTCACATTTGATCAACTTGCAGTTCGGGCACGGCCTGTTGAAGAAGCCTCGCCAAATGCGCTGCGCCTGAGTTGATTCCTTTCCCTTGCACGCACGCACAAACACACGCCCACACAAAAAATGCATGGCATGTGATGCCTTGCATGGATATGTGTGCATTGGTTTGGCTTCTGGGAGCCCGGGCGAAGCGTTCAATGTGAGTTTGCCTGGGGACCTTTTTAAGTGACCCTGCCGTTTATCTCCAGCCCCGGGTGTCTGAGCAGCAAAGCGAGCTCTCACTCAGTGTGGCGGTATGAACATCTCCAAAGGTCTGATTTCGGGGTTCCAAAGCAACCCCTTCAAGGTCTCCAAAGGTCTGATTCTGCAATGCTGGGAGACCGTGCAATGCTGGGTGTGCCGCATTTCTCATCGAAAACGGTAGGTTCTGCCTCAGTTGCGATCAGTCAAAGGCTGCGCCTGCCGCAGTGTCAACCCATTGACGCTTACAACTTCTCGGTTGCTTTCTGCTCCCCTGCTAAAAATTTAACTTTTGGTGCTAACATTCAAGCAGAATGCAACCACGACTTGATCATTCTCATTGCTTCGCGGGAACTGGGGGTGCCACCTCTGGGGCTCATCGACTCTGCAGCTACGTTGCCGCGGCGCGGCAGAGTGCCATGATTCAGCTTCTCAGATCAGTAAATTCACATTGCCCCAAGAGTCATTTGGCTGTGGTTGTCACAAATGGGGGAACCCCAAAATGGCTTGGTCTGGTAAATGGAACCCATGACTCAAACAGGCGGTCCAATTCCTGGTGGTTAAGTTTTGACCCACACACATTTGAGCCGATCCCCTGCTTAGAAACCCGCAACTCACTTAGTCACTCGAAGCCAGAATCAAGCACTCCAGTCACTACCTTCCCGCGCAACCAATGCTCCTGAGGAGCACGAATTAGAGACGCCCGGTAGGACGTGTCATGGGTACAGTCTGCACCACAATGAAATGAAATCACCCATTCGGTGGGCTGGCTCCAAAAGCGCCATGATCTTCATACTCTCTGACTTCATAGCTTGCACGATATATCTTTCCGTAACCTCCTGAACATGTTGACGCTCTTGGCTGCCCTTCACTTTCCTGCAAAGTAATCGGTAAGAAATCCTTGCAGCAACTCCTTAAGATCAGAGATTCATCCAAAGCAGGATGAAGAGCAGTCCCGCTTTGCAGTGCCACAGCCTACTTAACATAATACGCCTTCACAGCTGTTGAATCAATCCTTGCCGCGCAAGAAGTTTGCTCCATGTAAGCACCGGCTGTGAAGGCGTTGACACTGCGCCTACTTGCCCTACATGCTATGACAGTGTGGCATCCCATGATCCCTCGCGCTAGTGCGGAATGGGTGTGCAAGAGGCACGCCAAAACTTTACAATGGAAAACAGTGCTAGTCGAGCCAGTCAACGCATTGAACCAATCTCTCTAGAATCTCTTTGTATGTGCATATATATGTATATATAGGATGTGAGTATACCGGTATGTGTTGGAGTTTGGCTGGCTTGACAGTTCCAGAGACTCCGACGATCAGGCCGAGACCGACCTCAGCCCAGTTCCCAACAGCTCAAATTCACCGCCTAAACAAATCAGGTGCATCCCTTGCAGCGCCTACAAAGCACATCCTGGCCCTGTGCTCAAAGCAGTTGCAGCGCGCAGTCGGAAGCAGGCGGTGGCAACCTGACGTGGTTGGCTGTGCCAATCGCAGCAACTGCAACCTCTGTCGCTGCAACGTTATGTCTGAAAGCTAAACACAGGGGTAATTCAACGCCCAATCGCACCTAGGCATCCCTTCTGTGAATGTACAAATGCTGCAATCATGCGTCAACGAGTCAAAGACAGATGCGCCTCACCATCGAAGCACTTTACAAAGCTCAGGAGAAATGTCAAAGCTGGAGAGAATCCTGCAACTTGACGGACGTCTTTGCATCTCTTGATAGCCCAAGAGAGGATTGTTGTCTCAAACAACGACACGCAAGCTGAAAACGTTCGGCCTGAAAGAATCTACTCCAGCAAGGTGTGGGTCCCGTACGGGAGGCCTGTCAAAGATGTCAATTGTCATGTGCTTGCAAAATATGACGACCACAAACATGGCCAATTTCCTTGTGATGTGCGTTCACAGCCAACCAAAAGGGGGAGACCCAAAGAAAGATACATTCAAGGTTCAGCAGCTTCCAATGCTTTGCAAGCCACATGTTTGAAACACTTGGGCCACGGCCTCCATTGCATCATGCTTGAAATTCGGTGCAGTCATGCACCCACTAGCAGCGTCGCTGCCATCCGGGAATAGCTGTCCCACGACCTTGCGATGGGACGTATCAAACAAACAAAATGAATCTTCAGCTTCCCTCGAATTTGGATTGGTAATCCCCAAACCACCAACTACGGCTTACGTGATACAAGAGAAAAAAAGCCGCACAAAACAATGCACAAAGCATCTACAGCGCTGAACTCAGCGCTGAACTCCGTCTCAGAGATCCTCCATCCGGAGGCCCAGGAGGAAAGCTGGTCCAGGCTGCCCGGAAAGCTACGCTGCACCAAATTGCGGCCGAGACTTCGGTCCTGCGCGAGAGAAAACAACCACGCTAGATCTGAAAAATGTTACGTATAATATAATGCAATATACTATAACATCATGTGATATAATGTGATATGTTACAATATGAATATGATGCAACATAATATAATATAATTTTATATTAATATAATATATACATACTACTTCAAAGGAAGCGAAGCCGCCAAGCGTCCTCTTGGACAATGACTGCCAGCTCTTGGGCCACCTCAGAATCCACTCGGTGCATAGACAACTTGGACGTCAAGTGAGTCATAGTCAAAACCTGGTACTAAAATGGTCTACCCAGAACCATGTAATGAATTAAGAAGGCGGCCGCAGCTACTTCTGGCTGAGATTGTCCCTTACCAACCTTCATCTACCCGGGTTTTGATTGTGGCTCAAGTGAGGCATAAGCAAAACCTGGCCATGGGTCAACATCCAAATCGTACCCCCAATCCAACCACTAAAATAGGTACTCCGCCGACCCCTTTCTCCAAAAGGGGAGGCGCATGGGAAGGGTTTGTATTCGTCCTTGTCTTCGTGATGATTATCACAATGATTCGCAGCATCTGGATCATCATCATTCTTCTGTTTCATATACGTTTCAAGTGTACCGTTAGACCCGACTTGGAATGCAGGTAATGCATAGTCATGATTGTTATGAGAACTGCTGCTCAGCTTGGGATGCATAGTGCTGCTGGTGATGCTGGGGATGCGTAATGCTGATCATCATCATCCTCATCATCATAACCTGACTTGACATGCGAAGTGAGGAATGTGTTGTGCCTTTAGGCCCAACTAGAAATGCGGAGGATGCTGATTGTCATGAAAACTGCTGGTAATGCTGGGGATGCGTCGTGATGATGATCATCATCATCATGACTTGACAGACATGCAGGGGTTGCATCATCGTCATCGTCATCATCATCATCATGACCGACTGGAAATGCAGGGATGCGCAGTCATGGTGATGCCGGGGGTGCATAGTTCTTCGTGATCATCATCTCATTGCATCCCGGGGCGCTAACAGCTCACTTCTCGCGAAGACGAAGCGATGACACAAAGTCCACGCTTTGCATCCACAGCAATACAACGAAGTCTTGCGAACAAAAAACGGTACCCCCAACATGGTTTTCCTGCCCAAGTTTCCACACGCCAGGGGCACTTCTTGTAAAATCCAACAAGGTGCTCATTATCTTGCGACTTAATCCTGCAGTAACTTGTTTGAGATGCAGGGAATGCGTTGTCATAATTCTCATAACAACTGCTGGTGATGCAAAAAATGCCAAGAAGTTATCATCATGACTGCTGGCGAGAATGCGAATGCATAGCAATACATATCAGCATCCCTGATATTGGGTAATAGTTTGCATCATCAAAAGCATGATCATTGTCGCGGTGCTCTTCTTTTTCATATGTGCTTTAAGTGTGCCGTTAAACCGGACAAAAAACGCGTAGTCATAACAAGCAAGCCGGGGGCGGCGGCACAGGCGGCATCCCTTAGATCCGGCTACTGGGGTAGCACGTCGCTGCTAAGCAATTAGCCTGCTAGCTTTAGCTATAGGGGCTGCACCCGGGTGCCGCCGACCCTCGTCACGTGATGCGTTGCCTACATCCGGCACTTCTGCATCACCAGCTCGGGCTTGCGGTTTTGCCTGCCTGTGGAAAACCCTTGCCAAACATCGCGTATACGCATGGTTTAGGCCATGTGGCTGACATCATCAGGGTCTGGGGTTGGGCCTGGGTGATGCTTCAGCGGGGCTTGGTCTGCATCATCAAGACTTCCTTCCAAAAAGCCTCTCAACCCATGAAGCGCTGTTTTCTTTACAAGGTATCGGAGGGATATAAGTGAGGCTCATTTTCGCGCATTTTGGCGCCAAGCGCTGCCGGGCATCAAAAACTGCTGTGCTGAGCGTTGGGCTGCTGTTCTGTCCGTTTTGCTTTTGCTGTGGCTGGCTCGCGTGCTGCGAAGCCCTTGCTTTTTTCCCGTTGGTTTTCGGGCCTTCTGGCGCGCGCGACCCCAGCCACAAAACGCTGCTATTTACGGCGTTTTGTTGCATGGGCTGCTCTTTCTGGGGCCTCTGGCGCGCGCGTGCGCGACCCCATGTCTAGCCTTCTGGGTTGGGGCCCGGCTGGGGCCCAGAAAGCTGGCATCCCCAGCATCATCTGGGGTTCGGGTGGGCAACATGCATAACCTAACCAGCCATATCATAGCACAGGATACGTTTCTCATACAAAAACCATAACATAAGCCGGCTAGAGGCCGCAGGCCCAGAAAATAAAGTGGGTGCACCTACCCCAAAACCTGGTAGTAAAATGGGTGTGGGTCAAAATTAAACCACCAGGAATTGGTCCACTGGTTTTGGTCCATGTTGCCACTTGCCAGGGTTCCATTTATTTTTGGGTACCTATTTACCAATTTTTCACCCACAGCCAAATGGTCGACCCAGAACCACGCTTCAAGAATTAAGAAGGCGGATATCCGCAGCTATTTCTGGCAAGGGGATGGTCCCTTAACCTTCATCGGCCCGGGTCTTGGTTGTGGCTCAAGTGGGATACTGAGAATGCGGCGCGGCGCAGTTGGCCCAACAGTTCGTTTACTGACGGGGCCTTGCAGGGGCGAGCAAGGCCCAATCGCTGTCCAATTCAGATGATCTAGCTTGGTCCCGAGAGAGTTTGAAGGTCTGCTCAAATATCAAAACACACCATCGACAAAGAAACATGCGCAGGCAACTGTCTGTGAGGCTGGTCACTCCTCCTTGAACTTCACCGTCTTTACAACAGACCTGTCACACATCGGTCTGTGTGGGACAGGCACAACGATGAGACTTTGAAGGTAAGTCCACTGCCAGAGTCAAGCAGATTCTCAATGAATTCTCGGTGTGTGACGATGCCTGCCAGACAGCACCTTCGTAGCTGATTTGGCAGCCTGCGCACACCCATCGTTGCATGCCAATTTGAAAGAAGTGAGCAAGTGGAGTGTCACATTTCAAACGAAGTGTTTTCTTTGGATTCCATCCAATGCGGCCTGAATCTCAGCAGGTGAATCTCCAAGAACGATCAGATTGACCCCGTCAGGATGATAGCCTGGGGAACGCAGTTGCCGGAGCCAGGGTCCCGTTTTTTGACTACCCCAAGGCAGACTTAAACCCAGGGGTGGTGGATTCCCCCAAAAGGGACACTGGTAGTCAAAAACGGAACCCTGGCCGGAGCTTCATCCAAAGCATCAGCTCTTTGCGCCTTCTTGCCGTCGCCGTGCCAAGATCTGACAGCAGCTCGGCACAGAAAAATCACATGCAACCTGCCCCGGAAGGCGCCTCCCGGAAGGCTTGCCGCTTCCATGCAAAAGGATCTCCAGGAAAGGTCTGCTCATACTGGGCTCTAGCTGACATGACCTGCCAATGAGGTCTCATGCGAATGAGCTGAAAGCGATTTTGTCTTGAGGCAGGTACCGTGACTCGGTTCAAGATTCTGTGCAGGTTCGGAAGAAACCTGCGGGCACTGTCCTGCCCAAGCAACATACGATCGCAGCGATACAACGAATACATCTCTCTCCTGCACCCAGGAGGCATTGCCATTGGTCACGATCATCTGGCACGCTTCTTTCCAAAACATTCACCATGGCCGGGTGAGTTGGGGGTGGGTCCAGAATAGGTACCCAAAACGGAACCCTGGAAAAGGAAACAAGGACTAAAACCTGCGGTCCCCTTCTGATATAATTGTGACCCATACCCGGTCACGTCCCACCCTGAGTCAGTAAACAAGCAACAGGCGCCGTCTCACCAAGCTGCATCGCGGTCAAAAGTATGGACTCCACCATCTGCTCCAGCTGCTCCAGCTGGCAAGAAAGCCAACTGGACGCGTGTGCGTAGTATCACAAATTGTCTGAAGTCGAAATTGAAGCTGTTTGTTGGCAAATGGGTGTGGGTCAAAATTGAACCACCGGGGGACGGCAGGTTTCAGTCCTTGGTTCCATTTACTAGGGTTCCATTGTTGGCACCTGTTTTTGACCCGCAGCCAAATAGAACAAACCAATGACACTGCAGTTGTCAGTGCTGCCGACATGGCAAAAGATATGGGCAATGGGCACGGTGCCAGCCGCCTGCTCCGGCTTCCACTGCTGGGCGTTGATGGCAGAGCTGCACAGCAGTGTGTCGTCCCAGTCAAATATAATCACCTGCCATGCCAACAAAATGATCCTCACAATCCCGGAACCGCATGATGCCATGCATGAACACAATAACAGGGACCATTGTTGCCCATGGTGCGATGCTCGCAGGCTTTCATTATCTGATGCTATCGGAGCGCTTTGCCCCGACAGCAAATCGATCGTTCCAGGACATGGCAACACAGCTGAAGACTGTTGCTTCAGTGCAACTCCCTCTTTGTACAAAGCTCCCCCTCCGAAGCCGGACAGTGAATGCGGAGCAGGCTGCGCTGGAAGCTCACAGCACATCACTGATACCTGTCGACAGGAAGGCTAGTGCAGCATCACAAAGTAATTAACCGTTGCGCCAAAAGCAACCTTCAATGTGGGTGATTGACCCAGCATGGCACATAGGGCGGGGAGATGCGGATCAAACCTAAGCGAGTTTATCCCGCGGAAACCTCAAAATCGTCCGGCGAGAAGGAATACAAACATGAGATATGGCGCTCTCCAGCTCTCTCTCGCTCTCTCTTTTCCCGCCTGAAACCGTTCGACACCGCATGCCTTAAATCTTACTGGGCACGCAAACGGATTTCGGGCGTCGTTGTTCAAGCGAGACTGAGACCTGCGCAGCTGGCAAAGCTCCACTGACAGCTCGCTTTCCCGTGCTTCTGCCACGGCCAGTTCCTCCTTCATGCCATGTGGCTGCGGGTCAAAACCAATGGTACCATTTTGGGGTAGGTGCACCACCCAATTCAGTCTATTATAGTGGGGATTGGGATGTTCACTGGGGGTACGATTTGGATTTTGACCCCTGGTCATGTGCCAAACTGTTTTAAGGAAAAACACTGAAGTCAAGCTCCTGCAGCTGGCCGTTGTCATGTCTGAACATCTCAACGGCCTCACCTTGCTGGCAGGCTCGTGAATTCCATCGCAGGTAGACTTAAACCCATGGGTGGTTCGTTCCCCCAAAAGGAGAGCCCCTGGGTTTAAGTCTATCTCAGGCTAGTCAAAAAGTGAAACCCTGCAAACAAGTTCGTATAAAGCATAGCATGCCCTGCTTATATTAGCATGCGGGCGGACACGCGAGCTACGAGAGTGGAGGGAAAACTCGCGCGTGTGTTCGTCTGTCTGTCTCAGTCTCTGTCTCTCTGCCTCCCTGTCTGTATATCTGTGTTGGTCTGGTCTGGTCAGTTTGCATTTGTTTGCTCGTTTCTGTGTCTCTGTCTGTGTCTGTCTCTTTCTCTGTCTCTGCCTCTGTCTCGTCTCTGCCTCTGTCTCTGTGTCTGTGTCGGTCTGTATGTCTGTGTGAACCTGTACTTTGTCACGGCGCAGTGTCGTCTCTGTGCATCCTAGGCAGCATGCTGGGCGTCACACACAAAGCCTCCAGTTCGCAATGCGAAGCTTCCGCCTCTCGTTGACTCCGCTTCTCATGAGACAACATGGCCATGGGTCGTACCCCCAATGAACATCCCAATCCAACCACTAAAATAGGCTCTAAAATGGGTGCACCTGCCCCAAAATGGGATCCCATTGGCTTTGACCCACATCCCGTCCAATCCAAGACCCCCGCCTCGGTGTCCAGGCAAGAGGAGCCCGCCTGCTCGCCGCAGCGGACTTCTCGCCTCAGGGTCAACATGGGCGTCTCTTTTCTTTGAGGGGACACCCCTCTTTTGTGGCTTTCAAGAGGGGTGTCGCCTAACAAAATGGGGGGGGGGGGGGGGCGCCTCAAAAAAAAACAAAAACATTGTGCTTCGGTGCACTTTGGGCCCCACTCTGCTTCACGGCATTCCAAGATCTCTGCCTGGCAGCTCAAGGGCTGTGCCAAGTGCCTATCAGGGTAGCAACCGCTAGCAGTGAATGCCTCCAGCATTGCCAAGCGACAGCGCAAGGCCGCCTAACAAGGCGCACGGCCAAGATGCCGAAAACTGCAGCACATTCACATTGCCCGGCCTCAATGCCTTGTTCCCGCTCGAGATCGTGCACCAACTGCTGCACCTTCGCAAAGTGGTTGAGTTCTCCCTTACGCAATTGGCATTGTGGCCATGTGTGCTGGCCCGGAAATGCCGCGTCTGGCCTCTGCATCATGATCGCCTAGACCCATCACTGAACCGCGCGGTTCGCACTTTGTGAATGCATCTTTGTGAGGACCGGACCAACCAATGGCCTTGGGAGAAAAACCAGTGCCACGACAAGCCTTTTCATTGCCACACAAACTACCCTGCGACCATTGACACTTCTTCTGTGACGCAAACGCACGAAAACCAATCGCAGAATAGAAAAACCGCACCGCTCGAGGCTGAGGGCACAGGGGTGCAAAAGATCGCCAGGTGCGAGAGAGATATCCCAATTCAGGCCGATGGCTTCCCGCAAAAGGACAAAGCACTGCTTCAGCTCCGTGCAGCAATGATCTCAACTTCTCTCTATTTCGTGGTTTGGATTGGTGGTTTGGTGGTTAAGGAGGGGGATCCCATTTACCCGGAATTTACCCTCTACAAGATCCAGGGGTGCAAATCCCCAAGCCACCAATCCAAACCACCAATTGGGGGGAAAGCTGTTTTTCTTCTGTTTAGGAAGGGGAAAAAAACAATCCTTCAACATATGCCGCAAATTCAACCAGACGGTGCCTCCTGTTGGCCTAAGCCCCTGACGGCACGAGATAGGTCGCCTTGGTCCGTTGTTTCTGGAAGCGGATGTTCCGGAGCCATGGGTGCGTGGCTCGCGCCACTTGAAGCTCTTCGCCACATCTGCCCATGCTCAAACTGGCTGTGGGTCAAACATGTGTGCCCAAAATGGAAGCCCGGTATATGGAAATACGGACTAAACCAGCGGTCCCCTAGTGGTTTAATTTTGACCCATGCCTAACTGACTTTGATGAATGGAAAGAACAAGGCAGCACGCCCCCTTCCAGCAAAGCCACCTCAAAGATTCAGTCGACCAGTGCACTGGCAGGCCTGCACGCGCATGCTCGGATCAATTCAGCGGCATGTTTCACAAGGCAACCGAACCTGTGTCCAGACCCGGCTCCTGAAGCGCTCACGGCAAACCAACTCCAAATGCTCGTTTTCCAACTTTCGTTGCAATGTTCCATCGAGTCACGGGGCTGTGGGTCAAAAATGCACAAAATGGGTTGCCCTGGTAAATGGAAGGACGGCCTGTCCAATTCCTGGTCCACTTCTGACCCATACCTCGTTTCAAGGGATTCACGACTCCAATCCGGCCACGCCGCATCGGGATCGTCACGCCTTGGCGGGAGCGCCAAGGCCCAACTGCGCTGGGGCAAAGACAGTCCTAAGGCCACCGCGCGACATGACCTCGAAGCTTGGCGAAACGGCTGAGGAAATCCGGCGCGCATGAGATGGAACAACAGCAGCTCGCTGGCTTTTTCTTGATGTTTTTCCTTTCCGGTACTCCGGAGCTTACACTGCCAATACTCATCCCGATCCTTTCCGGGTGAATTGACTTTTATCGCCTGGGGTGCCTGAGCGGTTGCCCGTCGCCCCATTAAAAAGAAAAAACAAGGTGAGAATTACAAATGAACCGGGCCTCAAGCGACATGCATGCTAAGCTCGCTGCTGGCTTCAATGTGTTGCTGAAGCATGTAGGCGGCTGCTCGCTCGGACCTTGGCTGGTGACTTGGCGCCCACGCTCAGCAGCCTTGGCCAGGCTACCAATGCTCGTTTCCTTCATCCAAACCTGAGGCTTTGGACAGGACTGTTGACCGTGTGAAACTTTTCTTGCTGCTCAGCAGGGAATGAGGCAATGATTCCTACAAACCACCGCTGGTGGTTTTCCATTCAGGGGACCCCTGGGCTCATTCCCACATTTCCTACCGAGCACCAGCAAGTTTTGCAAGCGCATGCAGCGCATCAAGGCCAGCAATGGCGCATCACCCCGGCGATCATGCTTTCACATGCGCAAAGCATTGCTGATTCGACTCGGAAACTGACACAATTCAACCCGCCTTCACCGGGTACATTCTGCGCACATGTTGCCATAGCGATGCAACCAGCTAAGATGTTTGTGATGGTGGGTGGTATGTCTCAAGAGGGGCAAGCAAAGCATGCTTTATGTTACGATGCCAACCACACATAAATGGAGGATGATGATTGCCGCTGGTTGCTGCTTTCTGCTTCGTTCTTCACTGTAAGCGTTTAGCCCATTTCTGGCTCGCAGCTTGCACACGGAATGCTGTGGGTGCATCTGCGCTCAACTATTTTCCTACCTCTGCCTAATGAGGCATGGGAGGCATGGGCTGCATCGGGGTCAAAGTAGCCCATGTTCACCCAGGGATGTCAGTACACCTTCATGCTGGTTAACCACATTCAAAGCTAACGGAAACTGGCTTCCCATCGAAGTTCACTCAAGTCTGACACTTTCAGGTCAAGCACATGGCTCGCGCACCGTGTCCGAGTCGGAGCCAGGTCGCCACATTGGCGTCGAGTCAGAATCGCTCCCTAGGCAATTGCCGTCTTCCCAAACGTGGAAAACACAAACCAGAAGCAAAACCTGTCTGTGAGGCCCGGACACGGTGAACAAACTATGCCGTCTTGCGATGCTTGCCGTCTCTTCGGGGTGAACAGCGAGTCATCCTCAGCCGGCCCGCAACTCGGGGCCTCTTGAAACACGGCGAACTTTCGAGGGCGCCTCGATCCAGGACTTGGAGGCACCTGGGAATCCCGAGCTCCGAATGTCCCGAGTCCTGAGTCCACCGCTTGGGCAGCAGGCTGTCGCCCATTTGTGGCACAATCCCGCAGATGCTGAAGAACGCCTCGGCTTGCCACCCGAAGCGTGAGATGAGAGCTGAGAGCTGAGACTCAGAACCTCACCGTGATTGGCAGGCGCGACTGGGGTCGGCAAACTCTGAAGACCCACAAATGTCTGCGGTCAATTTCAAGATTCTGAGATTGATTGATAAGGCAGCTGCAAACAGCACGCGAGCCAGAACGTCCGGCAAGTCCCACACTTCTCCCCGACTACACCGTCTCACGAGTCAACAGGTCAGTCAGTCATACGTGTTGTCTGAGTCTGAAGCAATTGTTCATCATTCCAACTAAGCACAGATTGGAGCAACTGCCGGCAGGGTTGCAATGACTTCTTCCATTCACTCATCGGCTCTTGATCTTGGGGCCTTACCACTTTGCAACTGTTGCAGCTTCGGCTCGGATGTGGCGACTTTTCATTGCCAAAAAAGAAATACAGTACGCGTTCTATTTGTATAGAAAAGTCACAACTTCTGATTTAGAGCTGCGGCACGTGAGCTTTGCCGATTCGGGTATTCGCCTCCGCCCCAAGGGGGCCAAGGGCGCTCAGATCTCTTTTCCAAAGAGAACCTTCGCTTGTCCCCTTCCCCAACCCCTTCCCCGCACAAAATTTCTCTGGCCCAACCCCCCTCCCCCCACCCCCCCTCACCCATGTCTGCCGGCCCAAGATACTGTCCAGCGGGCTTTCGAAATTTTCGGGGCTCGTCGGCGTCCACCTTCTTCTCCCGAAAGCATGACCTTTTACAGGCCAGGCTTAACCAGCACATGTCTGGCGCGTCTAGACAAGCCTCAGGCCCAGCCCGACCAGCAGCCTACTCAAGCAAGGCTGGCTTGTCTGACAAGCCTCAGGCCCAGCCCAACGCCCTCCCTAGCCCGACCGATCCACGCTTGAAAAACCCCACGTTAATACAGTGGATCAAGACTGCCGCGCGCGTTGATCGCAGCTCTGCTTTGGTTGCCGAGCCTTTCCGCGCAACTTCCGCCCATGACATCCACTGCCCCAGCACGCAGCGCCACTGACTCTTGGCTCCATGACTCACTCCTCGTCCTATGCATAGCCTTGCCCTTGCATTCCTGCGCAACTTCGGCCCATGACATCACTTGGTCCAACGACGCCAGAACCTGTCCATTCCTGAATCGCCACTGTATTGAAAACACAGGGCTATCAAAGGTACTAAATCAATACATGCTCTCAAAACACACTTTGGGACCCTCAGGGTGTAAATGCTTAAAAAAATAGCGCAAACACCAAATCTCGATTCAAAACTATTTCGACTGCCGCTGCCGGGCTGTTCTATCCTACTCTGAACAGCTTGTCGTTTTTGTCTCTCCTTGGCTTACAATAATTGCGCACGGCCCTACAACTTGAAGAAGCGTGCTTTTGCATCGTCACACTTAAGCAGCCCTGGCCACAAGAGCACCAAATAAATCAGCAGAAGCCGCAGCAGTGGAAGCAGGCGCAGATGTTTCAGCCCAGTGAACTCCTGTTACTAAAACGGCTCCTAAATGGAACCAAAGACTAAAACCCGCATAACCCTAGCTCTCTAATTTTGAGCCACACCCACATCTCTGCTGCTGCTGCTGCTCAGAGCAAACAAAGCGCTCACGGTCACTTCTATTTCCATCCATTCTCGCCCGGAAAAAACATCAAAGAGCAGCTCACGTTTAGATTCCCAGCGTAGGGCCCTTCTTGAACCTCGGACAGAGTATGGAAGTACACAAAGCAATGACTCTCAGCATGGGAGTCTCTTTTTCTTTCTTTGAGGTTACCATGTTTGGCCTTTTACTGGGAAAACAAAGACAAACAACTTTTGGCAGGTTCCTCAACAAAGACATACCCCAACGGCGTACTGCGCATTTGCTATGCAAAGGCGCTGCAGCCATGCCGAAACGAAGAGTCCGAGCATTGTGATGGGGACCTTAGCTTTGCCCGCGGAGAGTCGGGTCTGCACAAGAAGCAAATGCCAGGGCTGCTCCAAATTTAGGCCCCCACCGTACCGAGGACGATGCCCAACATCAAAGCTTCAACCTGATCAATTCATTTGACACTGACATATTCAGGCACAGTATGAATGCTCACACGGCGGGTCCATGCTTCAGTCACCCGCCGTGGCAGACAAGTTGAGCGTGGAACCTTGGCAGCCAAGCCATGAATATGGAGTGGGTGTGACACTCACTGTGAAACTCGGTAGTCAGAGATCAAGCTCGAGTACACGCACACACTGACTTTTGGCGTTGGCAAGTGACTTCGATATCACAAACCATAGCTTTCGGCACCTGTTTTCCAATGCATCCTGAGGGCCCATGTCCACGTCCATGTCAGGCGCAGCCATTGCCATCTGTGGAAGTGCCCCTGCCACCGCACCAGCTGTCAGAGCCTGCCTCAGAGCAACTCACTTCTGACCCCCGAACCTCATGAATTCCTCCGGTTCAGAGTCACCCAAGGGGTGGACTCACGGAAAAGTCATTCGTCCTTCCTGTTTTTGATCCCTGGAGTCGTGGTCAAGCCTTGAGGACGGCACGCGCCACGCGCCACGGGTTCAGACGGCGCAGAGACGAAAGTGCTTCCCAGGAAGACCTGTGGCACAGAGCTTGGAGCGTCGGATGCTTCACGCTTCTCTCGGAAGCCGACGCATCCCACAAGTCCGAAGACCTCAGTGCCCAGCCAAGTGCACTGGGGGCAACAAACGCAAGGAGCGAGCGGAAATTGGGAAGATCCTGAGAACTTGGAAAACTTGACTGGCAACTTACCCTCTCCAACTCGTCAGTAGGCTGACAGAAATTTGTATCGAAACTGTCAGAAAAAGTTGTTTGCGATAGGAACATTCCCCAAATCTCGAGCACCTCCCGAGCGGTCCAAGCGTTGGGCAATGGCTGTTGCGACACTGCGAGATCGTGCCATCGCCTGAGAGAGATGTTCTGAGCCCAGGAAGAAAAATGAACTGACCATGGGGCATAACCTATGGCTCCATTTTGGGGTGGATGAGCTTCCATTGCCACCCATTTTGACGTTCACCAGGGGTGCAGGGGTTTGACCCACAGCCAACTTACAAAGCTGCTTTGGTGTTCTTGAGAATGCTCCCTGCAGCTGCGCTGCATGTCTTCCCTTGCCGGCTGTAACCACGCGACACAACCAAGGCAGGGACTCGTGAGTCTACGCGGCAAATAACTTGGCTACTAACTGGGCGCTTGACCAACGGCAAGATGTGAAAGCATTGCCAGTTGACAAATCGATCAAGGCCGTTGGCATGGGCTGGAAATGTTTAATGTGCACCAGCAAAGCTGAGCAAAAGCAGCTCTCCATTTTGTCTGGCTCCTGCTCCTGCGAACCAGGCAAAACCTGGCGGAGATGAAGCAGGTGCATAGCAGCGCGAGGACAAGCAAGCAGCAACTCACGAAAGGCTCGGATTCTCGGTTGCTTTCTGCTCCCCTGCTAGAAGTTTAACTTTTAGTGGTTTAATGGAAGCCCAGTTACTGGGAAAAAGTTAAAGTTCCAACATCCAAGCAAAATGCACCAAAGAATTGATGTTGACGCAAGTGCACGAGGATTGTTTGCTTTTGCAGAGTCCCGGCCAGTTCGATGAAGCGCGGCTGCCCGTAGACATCCCGCACTGTGCGTATGAGTTCCAGGCCCTGGGCAAGACAACAGCAAGATACAAAAAATGATCCCCGAAAGCTTACTAATGCATGACCCCTTTGCAACTGCAGCCAACTCGACCCTTGAAGCGCCTGCATGGCTATGCCAAGGTCCGTGCTTGCCTCAGTGCGATTTTTGTACTTCAATCTCTCTTGCTGAAGCTTGATTGCTCAAGTGCATCTTCCAGATTGAGAGGCAAACGGAATCGGGAGCTTCAAATACAGCGGGATGTGTGTGGTGAACTTCCAAGTAAATTCGGGCACCAGGTGCGCCAATGGCAGAAGCAGCACGTAGAATTTCAGCGACAATGTCAAGGCCATCACTGCCGCCATCCAAGGCTCCATGATCTTCGAAGTCTTTAACCTCCTGTTGCAGTGTCGAGATCTCATGGCTCGGGATGTACGGCGGGTTAGAAACTATCAGGTCGAAGGAATCCTCTTTGGAAGTCTTGGCAAAGTCTTTGGCGGTGCACTGGTAAGCGGCAAGCCGGTCACGTACTCCGCATCTGATGGCATTCTCCTTTGTCAATGCGATGGCCGCGGTGGATGGGTCCACCGCCACGCCTTGCGCAGCTGGAAAGGCGTGAAGCAAAGATACGATGATGGCACCAGAACCGCAGCCGAAGTCAACGATGCGGCGAGGCTTGTTGGCCTTGATGATCCTGAAAGCCCAGATCCAACCATGTCTGCTGCGGAGTTGTGTTTGTAAACAGTCCAGTAGCATGTCATGCTATTGTGTATTGTTTATAGCAGTGTAGCATGTTGACAAAAACGGCGTATCGCTTTGTTTCAAGATCTGGCAGCATCAATTAAACACTTCTTCCCGGGTCTACTTTCAGTCCTGTCAACTAGCTCCTCCGTCTCTGGTCTTGGTATCAACACAGGCGCTCGCACCAACAGCTCTTCAGGCAGTGGATAGAATGGCCAGCTGCCCAATATGTATTGAACCTCAACGGAACATGGCATCAGAACGTGAAATCGACACATGCCAATTAGATTTGATTGCTTCATATGCACGACGTGCTTTTCCCAGCAACAAGCTTCGGTTCCGGAGCGGTTGCGCGGAAGTTTCGGAGAATCGGTTTGGCTCGATGCTGGGGAAACTCCTTGAGCCTATCAGATGCGTGTGAAGTTGGCCACATTTACCAAAATCGCAAAGCAAAACATCGAGATGCAGCCTTCAAGCGGTTGAACAAAATCCGGCTGAGCATCAGGTTCTCGCTGCGCTCGCCTTTCCAGCCACTGCTTCAGCGTCCCTTCTCGGTCCGCAGGGTCTTGGTGTTTCAGCGCGGAAAGGAAACACCTCACCGAGACCTCTGCATCCTCCGAGTCTAAGCCTCTCAGGGCAAGGCTTTGGACACCAACAAACAGGGCCAATTGAACAGCGCCCGAAATCCGAAACCATGACCTTTATTCCAACATGTAGAGATAGACTATATCCGCCGACTGCTTCCCAACAAAACACGTAATTGGAACACGTACGGCCCTCATCAGGCTAAACTTTGCAGAATGTCGGGGTGATGCCTGTTTAGCTGTGAACGTCATAGCTTTATTGGGATTTAGCTTTCTTGTAGCTTTGTGATTCATGAATACATTATATTGTATATCATATATACAGGATTGGTACGTTAGACATCCACAGCTGCCTGCAGCTGAGAGATTGACCCACTACAGCTGTATGCATGCAAGAAGCGGAGTGCCAGGCGGCAGTTTGGGCAGCTTAAGAAAACTGAGTGATGCTTAGCACAATGAAGGCGGCACGTGGTTTCGGCAGCCAATGAAACCATGGCCAATTGAGGAAAGTTGCGACTCTCTTGATGTGCCCTCCCTGAGGACTTTTGGGGAGTCATTGGCATCCAAAAAAGAAGCAAAGAAGGTCCATGCTCATGTCACTGGCCGCCGAAACCACACGCCTGCTTTTTGCAGGTAGCTTCTGGCTGCTCTCTCTTCATTCCGGGCCAGTGCAGCAAGCCGCCGCGCGGGCTCCTCACCCAGGGCCCAGTTCGCGGGAAGGCATCCCAGTGACTGATTTTGCCGTCATCTCCAGTGTCACAAGTTCGATGGAGTGTCACGTCCAAGAAGTATGCTTGAGCTTGACCAATCTGGGTGTCTCGTGTTCAGGTTGGACACCCCAAAGCGGTGGTTTTCCCTTTTCCCTGTGTCCCTTTTCAAACCAACCAACAAAGGGAACCCCCCCAACAAAAAAAACAAAAACTGTCTTGCCTGTTGTCTTTTGATTGGCCAGCTCCAATGCACCAGTCCTGGCGCGTGCAGCCTCTTTGCACGCGCTGGCAGAGCACCAGAGTCGTGGTCACTGCACTCACCGGCCTTAGAGTTTGGGCAGGGCGCTGATTCCAATGATCTGGCTGTGGCTCAAACAAATCTACCAAAATGGCACCTTGGTAGATGGAACCAAAGACTCAAACCTGCGTAACCCTGTTTTTTTTGTTTTTTTTTTTAATTTTGAGCCACACACATATGCGTCCAAAGGATCACAAAGACACTGCAACTCAGCCCCCAGCCATGCACTTCTCCGTTGCGCCCGCTGCGGCGCCTGCACAAAAAACACGCACACTTAGCTCTGTGTGAAGCAGCGAACTGCACCGGGCCTTGGCAAGCTGCCAGCTTGCGCGGAGCGTCCTTCCCTGCGTCAGTCTCCAATTGCTGCGTCCGCCCACAGAGCGTTTTGTTTCCTGCCTGAAGGTGTGGTACCGGCTGTGGTTGCAGAACACGAGCCCACGACATAGCTTGGACTTGACAGCAACTATAAGCCAGCGCAAAACGGCAGGCGCATGTGTGAGATCGTTCTCTCAGATGTACTCTGCCAGCCCCTCCCAGCGACTTTTCTGCAACTCTCTCCGCCATTGGTCTCGAGCAACAAGCTGGGCCGCATCCAACGATCTCCGGCGTGGCTTAGCATGGCCTGCATCTCGGCGTGCCGGTCCAGGCCCTTTGCGCCATCTCCGAGTTCGCGAGCTGACAACTCGCAGGACTAGTACCTCATGAATACCTGACCACGTCGCCGCTTCGCTCGGTCCTGTGCTGCAACAGTGCAGAGAAATAAGCAGATGTTCAGGCGCATTCCGTCGAAACTCAAACAACTGTCATGGTTGTAGTCCTTCGCAGCAAGTGCAAAGGCGGCATCAAAGATCTTGCACTCTTCTGGCCCTGCATGCCTGCCTGGGCGTGTCCATCGGTCGTTTGTTATTCTGCTTGCGCAAAGTCTTTGAGGCGGAGACCATAAGCTATCTCAAAGTGCTGGTCCATGCCAGGCACCTGAAGCTGCCAGCGGCCCGCCCCTTTGGCACCAAACAAAAACGACCCCTTCCGCAGTCCGCATGCCTTCTTCTGCAGCACCTTTGCAACCTGCGTTATGCGAGCTGCGCGAACTCTATTGCTTACGCCGAAGCCTGCACAGTACGAGTCTGAGTTGGTATGAGTTTGCTTCTCCTTGGCCTACGCGCGAAAAAAGCAACGCACAGTTTGCCGTGTTGCTTGCTTGGCCGCACAGCTTGGCTGCCTTTTCCTACCCCACAGGTTAACGTTTGCAACGACGCCGAGCCAACGAGGAGAGCTTGTCTTCTCCCAAATAGCGGCCGTGCTGCTTGTGAGGGTCAAATCAACCCGCCTTGGAGTCGGGCATCTTCTATCATAACACTGTGACATGAAGCGTTCTTCTGGCCCGGATCCGAGATACGTGCTTCCTACTTGCTGCTAGAAACACTACAAATTGTTTCTCTCAAGTGTCCAAAGCAAGCATCCGTATAGCTCAGCCGGGATTGCATCACAAATCCGAACCCCTGCGCCGTTCTATATATATATATATATGTATGCACATATATATATATATATGTATATTGGGGGTTGTACAAAATTACTTTGCCTGGGAACCTCCCAATCGCCGGCCAACCACGGTCCAATCGCGGTCCCACAGTTCCCAATCGCGGAGCAACATTGGGCATAGCCGCCTTCTTTTTCGCTTCTCGCCGCTGCAACTTGCTCGATCCTATGAGTCCACAGAACCTGATGTGGTAGAAGTGCTGCTCGAGGAACTGGACTCATTGCTGTCTGAAGCAAAGTCTTTCATGTGGCTCCATTTTTCCCTCCGCCTCAGCAACTTGTTGGCCACCATAAACCTGCTTCAGAGTCGTGGCTCGCTGTCTTCGGGGGCGGTCACCAACAAGTCAACCTTTCACCGGAACAAGAAAGAAGTGACAAGAAGGAAGCGGCAGAGCCCGGATGGGCAGGGGCTCACTGGCGGAATTCGTCCAATCGCGGTCCAATCGCAGTCCAATCGCCGTCCAATCGCGGAATTCGTCGGCGAAACTTCGGTTTGCAGCTTCCATCTAGCCCTTGCTAGCAATCAGGCTTGGAAAGCACTGTCTGGGCCTGCCAGACAAATTCAACATCCAGGGTTCTAGAGGGAACTTTCGGGCAAGCCTGCGCAGTCAAAATCAGCGACATGCGTCGGGATGTTTCAGAAAGGATGTTTCAGACCTGCTTCAGACCTGCTTCAGACCCTAAGGCCCTAGGGTGAGCAAAACAATCGATCAACCCTAAAGCAATGACGTCTCGTTTTCCAGCAAGCAACAAAAAAGTAGAAACAAAGCAGCCCCGGTAGTAAGGTACCGTTACTACAACGCCAGCGGTCGTAGCAGTAATAGCAATCCCCCAGAAAAGATGACACTCATCCTGCTGTGGCGGTCCAATAGCCCTGGATGCAGCGCGGTAGCAAGTCAAACGAACACTTTGAGACATGATAGAAAAATACAACGCAGGCCGAACCCATCGCAAAACCCCATCTAGGGAAGGAGCGGCGCAAGCAACAACACAACATAACACAACTGGGATGCTTCAGAGATGTTGTATCGTTTTGCGGGCAGCGCCCGTGAGAAGGTAGAAGCGTGAAATAGGCACTACGCGAATTCTACGCGGCCGCGGGTTCCGCGCGCGCAGGTTCCGCGCCTGCGGGTTCCGCGCGCGCGGGTTCCGCGTCTGTGGGTTCCGCGCGCTCGGGTTCCGCGCGCGAGCGGTCCGCACTCGCGCGTGCGTTTTGCATGCTACTTGGCTTGCCACAACAGAATACTCAAGCTGCACCCGGCAACTGCTGCTTACTAAGTCATTACCACAAATTCGTGGCAATAATGAAAGTACTAGCAAAACCAGACATGCTGGTAGGATTCCTGGCAATTTAAGCTATTATACTGAACGAATGGCGGTAGTCGTGATAGTAGTAGAAGTAGTACCAGTAGTGGTGGTAGTAGTGGTAGCAGAAGAAGTAGCAGCAGCGGTAGCGGCAGCAGTAGCAGTAGCGGAAGTAATAAGAAAAATAGTAGTATCAGTACTAGTAGTAGTAGTAGTAGTCGTAGTAGTAGTAGTAGTAGTAGTAGTAGTAGTAGATGCTAAGCAACTTCCAAATTCATGATGATTTCGTTTCCCTTTCGCGCTCCAATCGCCGGCCAACCGCGGCTCGAGTTTTCCCAATCGCGCGACTCAACAAGTTACCTCTCTTCATAAGTTTTAGACACGCAATTACGGACGGCCCCCATATATATATATATACATAAACATATATACAAACATATATATATATATCCGCCGACCCCTTCTCCTCAAAGGGGGAGGCGCACGGGAAGGGTGGTTGCAGCACAAGCGCATGTATTAATCTTTGAGGCAAGCATATGACTACTGGCATCATACGGATGCCCATCATCATCATCATCATCGATATGATCCTTCATCATTCTTATCGTCAACATCATCATCATCATCATCATTTCTATATCCTTCAACATCATCATCTCTTATTAGCCGGCACTGGTGATGCCGCGGATGTCATCATCATCTCTTATTCGGCAGCACTGGTGATGCAAAGGGTGTTATGATGATAGTTGTCATCATAATCATCATCATGATCATCCTTATTATGATGTCATCGCTCTTCTCATCATCATCATGATGATCATCATCATCTCATTCGTATTCTTATTCTTATATGCATTTCAAAAGTAACGTTAGGCCCCATTGGCAATGCAGACGATGCTACGATGATAGTTATCATCACAGTCCTCATCCTTATCATCACTATCATCATGGTCATCATCATCTCTTGTTAGCCGGCACTGATGATGCCGAGGATGCTACGATGATATATATCATCACAGCCCTCATCTTTGTCATTGTAATCATCACGGTCATCATCGTCTCTTAGTAGCCGGCACTGGTGATGCCGAGGATGCTACGATGATAGTTATCATCACAGTCCTCATCCTTGTCATCAGTATCATCACGGTCATCACCATCTCTTATTAGGCAGCACTGGTGATGCAAAGGGTGTTACGATGATAGTTATCATCATAATCATCATCATGATGAGCCTTATTATGATGTCATCGCTCTTCTCATCATCATCATGATGATCATCATCATCTCATTCTTGTTCTTATTCTTATATGCATTTCAAAAGTAACGTTAGACCCCATTGGCAATGCAGAGATGCTACGACGATACTTATCATCACAGTCCTCATCCTTATCATCACTATCATCATGGTTATCATCATCTCTTATTAGCCGGCACTGGTGATGCCGAGGATGTCATCATCATCTCTTATTAGGCAGCACTGGTGATGCAAAGGGTGTTATGATGATAGTTATCATCATAATCATCATCATGATCATCCTTATTATGATGTCATCGCTCTTCTCATCATCTTCTTATTCTTATATGCATTTCAAAAGTAACGTTAGACCCCATTGGCAATGCAGAGGATGCTACGATGATAGTTATCATCACAGTCCTCATCCTTATCATCACTATCATCATGGTCATCATCATCTCTTGTTAGCCGGCACTGATGATGCCGAGGATGCTACGATGATATATATCAACACAGCCCTCATCTTTGTATATAGAAGAAAGATAGAAGAAAGATATGATGATAATGATGACAATCATGATGACAATGATGAAGGCGATGACTATGATGACAATCATCATGAAGATGATAAGGATGATGACTCTTATGATAAACATATCCATCGTACTGTCATGATAACTATCTGCATTACCAAGGATGCCTAACGCCACAATTGAAATGTACATAGAAAGTATAGAAGAAAGATAGAAGAAGAGATGATGATGATGATGACAATTGATGATGACAATGATGATGACGATGATGAAGGCGATGAGTATGATGACAATCATCATGAAGATGATAAGGATGATGACTCTTATGATAACTATCATCGTAGCATCCTCTGCATTACCAAAGCTGCGGATGACTGTCATGATAACTATCATCGTAGCATTCTCTGCATTACCAAGGGTGCCTAACGCCACAATTGAAATGTGTATAGAAGAAAGATAGAAGAAAGAGATGATGATGATGACAATCATGATCACAATGATGAAGGCGATGACTATGATGACAATCATCATGAAGATGATAAGGATGATGACTCTTATGATAACTATCATCGTAGCATCTTCTGCATTACCAAAGGTTCCTAACGACATTTGAAATATGAAGTTATTATTTTATTATTTTTGGTTTACTCAGGCTGGGACCCTGGTTAAAAGTGTGTGTTTGTCATCAGAGTTTCATATGATTTCATTGCATCATTCGCAGCATCTCTGGCAATCATGGGGATAGTCATCACTACGCATCCCCAGCATCTCCAGCAGCGATGATCATAATCATGACCACGCATTACTGTCGAAACGGCACCTCGCCTCAGATGCCATTTGGGTCAAAAAGAAACCAAAGAAACCAAAACCAAGGGCACTGTTTTTGGTTGCTCGAAAACCACAACTAAATCCAGGGGTCGGCGGCACTGGGCGGCAGCCCTTAAATATATACACATATAAACAGACATAGCAGAAGCAATCTTTTTCAAAAGTGTGATGGAATTGTCTGCTGTTTCGCCGGCTCACGCCTCATTGGCCGCCTCCAGCCAGTCCAGGAAGCTGCAGTCTTTCACCAGCTTCTTGCGCAGTGCCTCCGCGTGCAGGACCGAAGCGGAAGGAGTGAATGGGGGACCCAACAAATCCCCCAAAATCGGTGGCTTGTTCTTTCCCCTTTGGTTCCCCCAGAAAAAATAAGAAGAAAGAACAACAAAAAGAAACAACCCAAAAAATATTCCCCGGAAAAAAAATAAAGACGGGGGCGCGTTCATTTCGGCCCGTGTCCCTAATGGCGCCTCCAGCAGGCAATAGGTGAGCACTCCCTGCTGCAAGCCGTCGAGCCAGGCTTCCAGCGCTGACTGACCCAGACCTCACAGCGGCTCGCCGTTCTGGCGGGGGGGGGGGGGGTTCAAAGAAACCAAAGGGGAGCCACTTCTTTCGGGGTCCCTCCGAAAGAAGAAGGAAAAAAGGGAGCAGCGTGCCTTTCTTGAGGTGCGGGTGTTCCCACATGCAAATGCAATGTGCTCTTGGGCCCATGCCACTGGCAGTGATGCAGAACACCGCAGAGCCTGACCAACCCCCAAATATCCCAAGGCCCTCTGGACATTGAGCGGTGTAACAGGTTCCTTATCGCCGGCCCCTCAAGGCATGGGGCATTCCAGTTGCAAGATCTTCCCTTCGCAAGTTACACTTGCAATTTGCAAAGCCAGTGGAGTTTTCAAAGCACAGGAGAACCCAAAGATCAAAAGGCCAACAAGAATCTAGTTACTCTAGTTGTTCCAGCCAATAGGGCCCACTTCTTTTAGGGTGGGTCCCTGATTTAGGCAATCTGCACCAGTGACAACTGGTGAACTGCTTAAAGACAGGCCTTCATGCAGTGGAGCGGCCAGGTCTGGCTGTACCCACGTGAAGCGTGTCCACAGCGGCCTCACAGAAGCTTCGAAAACCCGAGTCAGCAAGTTTGTCATGATCAAAACCCGGCGTTCGCCTCGCCCAGGTCTTTTCTTTGAATCTTTCCCCTTCCCCAACGCCTTGAAATTGTCGGGGTCGCCGGCGTCCGGCTTTATGGGCCCATTTTTGTCGCAAACGCGCTGAGAAAACAAGTCTTTTGGTCCCGAAAAGCATGACCTCCTGCTGGCCAGGCCTGTCTGAGACTAGCCCCACAAGCAAGGCCCAGCCCATCCCCCCAAACAACCAGCAGCGCCTCGCCCAACCAGCAACCCACCCAGGCCCAGCCCAACCAGCAACCCCAAGCAAGGGACGCGTCAAAAAAAGCGGCCTTGTCTCAATCTGACATGTCTCAGACTGGACTCACGTGTCTGATACTAGCCTCGGCCCAGCTCAGCGTCTGAGACTCGCCCCAACAAGCAACCACCCAAGCAAGGCTCAGCCCAGCCCGCCCAGCCCAGGCCAAGGCCCCAGCCCGCCCTGTCTGCTGGCTTCATGACTCACTCCTGGTCCTGTGCATCGCCTTGCCCTTGCCTTGAGGCTTCCTGCGGGCCCATGACATAAATTGGTCCAACGACGCCAGAACCTGTCCATGCCTGAATCGCCACTCGACCAGCTCTGCTGCTTGCAGTCGAACCACAGACGCTGCGCGCTTGGCTGGGCCGAGGCGGGCAACGCGCAGCATTTACAATTGAAATGGTCTACCCAGAACCATGCTTCAAGAATCAAGAAGGCGGCCGCAGCTATTTATGGCAAGGGGATTGTCCCTTACTAACCTTCACTTGCCCGGGTTTTGATGACTCCAGTGAGGCTCAGCGGCAAATGGTCCATGCTGCGCCTCCATATCGTGCACGGCAAGCGTCGTGGAATGGCATTCGCCTCAAGCGCAAGGATAGCAATATGGTTGGGCGTGGGTCCAAAATAGGGTAACCCCACAATGGGTTGCCCTGGTAAATGGAAAGGACTAAGACCTGCGGTCCAACACCTTGAGGTTTTGTTTATGACCCATACCCATATGCCAGTCAAGTTCATTTCAGTTCTTAGGGCCAACACCTGCTCGCCAAGCCGGGGCTTCTGCTTGCTGTAGGCAGCCTCGCGCGCATACTTTTGCCGTCAAGTCGCCCCATGATGACTGGCCTGCGTCACCGGTTCGTTGTCCTCTTCACGCCCCGGGAACGCCACGCAGTGCTTGAGCGGAACCTCACAAGAAAAGCTGGGTATGGATCCCCTTATTGGTTTGTTTTCAAGGGAAACCAAGAGAAACATCGCAATGTGTTAGGGGGTCTACAAAGAACACACCCGTATCGCCGGCCAAAAGTCAGACCTGCGGCCATGCACTCCGTCTTTCACGTCTGGCGTCCAGCCCCAGCCCCTGGATCTGTGGGCACTACCCGCACTGGAGCTGCGCATACTGCCGCATCTAGAACCAGCGTCAACATCACGCCAGCTGGCCTTACGGTATCCGTACCGATCCCTGAGCCAAATTGCATCCCATGCCTACATTCTATACCCAACGCAAGCCAGCCTTTCTGCCTGAGTTGCGGGCATCTTGGCCAGGCAGCGGTTTAGCTCTCTGTCTGTGAGGAGGCGATACCTGCACCCAACATGCGACAAGGCGATCCTGCAATCTTGGCTCAAACCGAACAAGCCAACGGCATGCTCACAAGATCAAATCTAACTTACGGGGTGTTAAGCTGCGCTGGAGTAGCTTAGGATGACTGACCTCCCAAGCGCACTGCGCACGGCACGAGCCGATCGAAGCTGTTCCAGTCCACAGGACAAAAAGCCTCATACAGATCGGTGGGGACCGGTTTGGTGAGCATCATTTCCATGGAGGCTATGTTGGCCAACCATTTTGAGGCTGCTTCTCATTCAAACTCATGGCATCGAAAGCCTCGTGAAGCGCGCCTCCTGGACCCTCTCATCATCGCTCAGCATGTAATCCTGCACCTGCTCGTCTGGCAACTGCCACAAAATGCCTCCAATCGCTCCATGTCAGTGCCTTCCTGAGTTGACCTTGTTGTGACATTCCTTCCTATTCCTTCCTATGGCGAGGTTCGATGAACCAAGCTTCTTCCATCAGACTGCTGAGCTGCCTTCCGAATGCATCTCCGTGCCTGAGCCATGTGCCCACAGAAGATGAAGGCCAGGCTGTCACCCTCACGGAACTTTGGGTGACGAATGCTTGGAAAGCCTCGCAATGCCGGCCTCCCTGACATCCGATGTGAACCACTCCAAGGCCTTCAACATGTTCTCCTGGGTCAAAGATATGAAAGCCATACAGTTTCCTCACGTCAACTCCCACAGCTGATCTCTCAAGTTACCGGAAGCTCTTGCACAAAAACACACACACACACTCACACACACACACACACACACTCCGGCATGGAACATGTTGACCCACTGCTCCTTGGTGGGCACCGAGTAGAACTCGTCCTCCTCATCCACCAACTCGCCGTTGGGGTACCTGTTGCAATGCAAAAGGCGCTCTGGTACGGAACACGCACGTCAGAGCGCACCACACTGAAAACCGTAGCAGTACAAACTTGGAGCTCACATGGCTATGGGTCAAAACCCCGTACCCCCAGTGAACATCCCAGTCCTCACCAAAATAGACTAAAATGGGTGGTGAATTCACCTACCCCAAAATGGGATCCCATTGGTGTTGACCCTCGGCCACATGTCAAGCATCATGAGGAGCTTCTCTCTCTGGAAGGCCAGCTCCTCTACCAAAACCTGGAGCTTCAAGGCAACAGGTTCGCATCCACAACTGCGGCCTGGTCGCGGTCTGAGCAATTGGCACGCTGCCATCGCAGTGCATCATTCACTGCACCCTGTAGTTCAACTCTGGTTCCTGGGCCACTAGGATGGAAGCAAGCATAGTGGGTGGACGGTGATGAGCCTGCATAGTTGATCCCGATCACGAGGGCCTGCTAGCGAATGCGCATCTGCAAATGTGTTGGCCGCAACCATCATAAGATCTGGTTGCAAGAAGCCCATTCTCAAGCGCTGTGTGCAGGGAAAAGCTGCCAGCCGATGAACACAAAAAGAGTCAAGTCGCATAATTTGCAGCGACTAAGTGCCTAAACCAATGCCAAGCAGCGTCATATGTGCCAAACATATTATGCGTAGCAAGGACCTTCACTACTCCTGTGCGTGGTGATCCACTAAATCCGCACTTTATCCCGCTCGCGCATTCGGTGCTCCAAGCAACGCACCGACTTTGCGGCTGGGATCGTTCCTGCTAAGCAGCGAACATGGCCCGTGCGCTGGTAGCTCGGCCGCTGCAATCCAAAAGAGACAAATGATACAGATTGTGGCGAACATGTTTTACCCGATTTCTTGGGCTCTAGCTTCAACACCTCCATCAAAAAACGGCTCTGGCTGTCACTGCCACACGGCATTCGTTAGCAGACCTAGTGGCCCCGCGCGGAGCAATGCCAAGAGCTGCCGCCTTTCGGCGCGCTTGAAGCCGAGGCTGTTGGCACGTGCCGCGAGGTGAGATGCAAAAAACCCATCCGGATCGGACGCCAAGAAGTTCCGAGTCTTTCCTGTAAAGTCCGCCGGTTGGGCCTGTCTGTTGAGTTTTTCTCAGGCACCTTTCAAATTGCTTTAAAGGCAAACCAAAGGGAAAACACCCCCAAAATCTTTGGGGGCAAACCTCTCACGCGCTCCAGTGGTTTGGTTTGGTCTTTTCCCCATGGAAAACCGGGCTCAGTGCCTCAGGCCGCCTCAAGCTCAAAGCGACAAATCAGCGCAGGATCACCCTCTTGGAGGTCTCCGCTGCTGCTGAGCAGGGGCACTCCTCGGAGCTTTTGGCTGGCGCAAGCGCAAGGGGAGGGAAGGGGCTTAAGGCGTTGAAACGTTTGAAACATGGATGGGGGGCTTGCTCCTTATTCCCTTAAAGGCCCACAAATGACCATGGGTATGGGTGGGAAATATCATCATTGTTTGTGGTTTTCCCCAATTGCCAATGGTCATCCCATGTAAAGGACCTTTTGATCACGCCCCAATAAAACATAAATACAATATTATGTAAGCTTCACGAAACAATGGCTCCCACTTCCACTATGATCATCTTACCGTGTGAATTCCTTCGAACTGCCAGCTCCCTTTGCCGCGAACAAGCCGTCAGGGGTGAAGCTCCGCCACTGCGCATCACTCGTTGCAGTCTCATAGTTGTTGGGGCGGTGTGAGTTAAGGAGTTGTGGCTAGTTCAAGGAGTGAAGTCGAGTGATATGATCGCCTCCTCACTTGCTTCGCTCATGCAAATCCAAAAATACAAAAGCCGAAACTCGCAAGGAAGCCTGAAACAAACAAATTGTGTGATTCACCCCTGCAAACCTGCTCCACAAAAGGGCACTAAACCCCGAAATACGAAAGACTTCAACTATACAAAGCCGCCTTTCCCTCAAAGCCACCTTTCCATCAAAGCCACTCCATAAGTTTTACCACCGAGCCTTCGTCACAGGCATCAAAACCCTTCATATCACTGCTCAAAGCACCCTAGACATGATCCGGGAAAACCCAGAGCACCAAACTCCGAGCACATTTTCTCCCTGCATGGGCCATATTGCAGGGCATGGCGCCGCAAGGCTGCGACATATTTCGGAAGGCCAAAGCAAAGTTGGCATCGAAGGTTGGATTGGCAAGAATTGGCCATGGGTCAAAATCCCGCACCCCCAGCTAAAATAGGTGGTGAGTTCACCTACCCCATGATCCCATTGGTTTTGACCCACCGCCAATTAAGCCAAAGCTGGTTACGCGCTTGCGGCATGCCGATCCAAGATTCGGCGCCAGCCTGGCTTCAGCTCCAGCAACGGAAAGGCGTACTGGCCTCGCTTTTTTCAGCACCCCTCTCGGTGGTTTGCATTGGTTGGTGGTTCCCTCTTTGCCCTCTACAAGACTCAGGGTTCAAATCCCCACACCACCGATCCGCATCACCAACTAGGGGTTGCTGTTCGCACACCGTGGACCTATGTTGAAAACGGAAAACCGCTGGGATCCCGACCAAGAAGATCATCGAAGTCCACGTCTTGATCCCATGCCACCAGCATGATGATTGCCAACGAGACATCAGTGATAACCTAAGGACCCCACGAATGCACACCCTAAGAAAAGAAGAAGAAGAAAAAAAACGCTTGATAAAGGGAGCTACTGGTTCCAGTAAAGGTCCTCAGTGAGCGGCTCTCGTCACTGGTTCCAGTAGGCAATGGTTCCCTTTCTTGCCACGGCCCATGGCTCTGGTTCTGACCATTGGGGAAGCAAATACTCGAGCCTCGCCATTCAGACAAGCATCGAATTCGAAGCGCTGCTTCCAGACTGGCTGAGCCTGCAAACGCCATTGCCGGGCCGGGCTCCCAAACTACAAAATGTATACATTCGCACATTGGATCATACACACATTGGATCATACACACATGAGGGAAAATGCAAAAACATACAGAGGAGAGAGCGAGAGAGAGAGAGAGAGAGAGAGAGAGAGAGAGAGAGAGAGAGAGAGAGAGAGGGACCAGTCTCATCAAGCTTGGTGCCTTGGGGCCCGTTCGCGCTCGTGCCGTATACACTGAAGTTCTCTCCAAACATCCTTGGTAGGCGTCATGTCGCAAAGTGCCATGCTGAAGCTATTGGCTCAGAGAGGCGGTCGGCTGACGCTCCAGCGATTTCAACGCCTCGAGGGTGCCCCAATCGTCAGAACGTGGACTTGCACAAAGGGCCCGACAAACATACGAATCTGGAGGCCCGAGGATGTCAAAGTCCCGAAAAGCCTGGCCCAAAATACATGCTGAGCACATCTGAACATCACACCGCACAATAGGAGCATGCACACATGCTCGCACTGGTGCGAGCATAACCCGGCGAATGTGCCTCCCAGCCATTGCCCGCCAGCACCGTGATTTTCAATCTTGGAAAGTCAGGGCATTGGCAGCCATGCAAACCATGCTAGATGTCAGCTGGCGTCGCGCTCGGACTGCACGCCTACCTTTTCTGCCAAGAGACTTGACAGGATCTGGTCGATCTTCTGGAGATAGCCGCAGATGCATAAGATGTTGAGGCTTGGGCACATAGCCACACCCTCCGTTGCCTGATGTCAGGCGTTCATCGACGAAGCGCGGATTCTGACATACTCTGAAATGCAACCACAAGGCTTGGCTCCGGCCTCTGAACCTTCCCGCGTTGAGCCACGCGGCATGCGGGTGGAAGAAGATACCTTGCTTTGCGAGCGAGTCTTCCAATCCGCCCCTTTGTTCCCAAAAGGGGAAGGGAGCATGTAGAGCACGCTCTAGGCTCCATGGGGAAAAATCCGTCGCAGCCTTTGGGATGACGGGGATGTTGCCTATTAAGTTTTGTTCAGCTTTATTGTTTAGATTTATTTAACTTTATTATCCGCCGAACCCGTCTTCCCAAGAAGGGAGACGCACGGACATATCATGTTTGCGATGATCATTTGTTCATAACTTCTTACTATCAGCAGGGCCAGCGACGCCGTTGGACGGAAGTTTCAATATAGTTATCGTTGTGTTCTTCCTTCTTTCTCGCATCTTGCTGTTTGTCATCGCTCTTTGTATTTCTGTCTGTCTGTCGTTCTGTGTTTCTGTGTTTCTGTGTTTATGTATGTCTGTCTTTCTGTCTTTCTGTCCTTCTGTGTTTCTGTATTTATGTCTTTCTGTCTTTCTGTCTTTGTCTCTCTGCCTTCTTTCCTTTTTTGTCTTGCTATTTTCATTTATCTATTTGTGTTCTGTTTGTTTGTCTTTCTTTAAAACAAATAAAATAAAAATGTGTTTGCTCTTTCCATCTTTCTTTATTTCTTCCTTTATGTTCTTTCTTTCTTTCTTTCTTTCGTGATTTCTCGATTTTCTTATTTCTGTTTGTATTTCTGTCTTTCTTTCTTTATTTGTTTGTCTTTATTGTTTCTTTCTTTCTTTCTTTCGTTCTTTCTTTCTTTCTTTATTTGTTTCTGTCTTTTATTCGTTCATTTATGTATCTTTTTATTGATTTATTCATGTATTTATGTGTATAGTTCTTACTTGATTTCCTGTGTTTCTTAGTTTCGTTATTTGTTCATTGATCTTTCTTTCTTATTTCTTTCTCTCTTTCTTTCCTTCTTTCCGTCTTCCCTTCTTTCCCTTCTTTCCCTTCTTTCCCTTCTTTCCCTTCATTCCCTTCTTTCCCTTCTTTCCCTTCTTTCCTTCTTCTTTTCTTTCCTTCTTTCCCTTCATTCCCTTCTTTCCCTTCTTTCCCTTCTTTCCTTCTTCTTTTCTTTCCTTCTTTCCTTCTTTCCTTCTTTCCTTCTTTCCTTCTTTCCTTCTTTCCTTCTTTCCTTCTTTCCTTATTTCCTTCTTTCCTTCTTTCCTTCTTTCCTTCTTTCATTCTTTCCTGATTTCCTTCTTTCCTTCTTTCCGTCTTTCCTTGTTTCCTTCTTTTCTTCTTTCTTTCCATCCTTCTTTTGTTACTTCTCTTTGTCTTGTTCATGCTGGGGATGTTGCTGCGGCGTTCCTATCTTTGTTGTGGTGGGTTAAGAAGCAAAGTTTCACGCGCGCGGCATGCGCGCATACACGCGAGCAGGCATGCGTGCATGCATGCATGCATGCGTGAAATGGCGCACATGCGTGGTTTCACGAATGAATTTGCAAGTTGATAACGCAGGGTGGGTTCCATGCATGATTTCGTAGTTGACAATGATTGATAACGGCGCGCGTGAAATGGCATGCCCGCATGCACGTGCGCATGCCGCGCTCACACACGCGCGCCCACCCTTACTCCTTCTGCGAAATTACTATTATTCTTGCCCTTGCACCGTGAGATGCGTGCAATTGTTACCTTTAGTGTTATACAATGCTTCAGCTCTGTGACTTTCGCCGCCAGCAACCTAAGAAAAAGTATTGCCAATATTACAATTTAGTATTTGCGATACTCTGAGTTCAGTGGGGTCCTAAGAGTAAGCATTGACGATGTTAAATTCTGTATTAGCAATATTGAGTTTGGCAGTGGGAACTCACGGTCAAGTATTGACAGTACCAAATATAGTCCTTGCAATGCTGAGTTCTGTAGTGGGAACCGTAGATCAAGTAGCGACAATACTAAACTTAGTGTTGGCAGCAACGAGTTTAGTGAGAGTCTAGCAATAAGTATTGACAACACTAGACTCAGAATTGGCAACGCTGAGTTTAGCAGTCGGAACCGAACATGAAGCATTGAGAATAAAACAATTAGTATTGGCAACACTACGTTTAGTAGTGGGAAATTAAAAGATTGGGTATTGAACTTGATATTTGCAACATTGACTTCTGTAATGGGAACTTAAAATATCTTCCACATAGTGCGTGCCAAATGATCTGTTTGTACCACGACTGCAGAAACGCAGGCCCCACGCCCCCTCCCCCTCCCCCCCCACCCCCTCCGCCCTCTAGCACTGACGGGGAGGCGGTGGGTGGCAGCCCTCAACCAAATTTGCGGCTGAGAAACTTTTCTGCCCGTTCAGGGCCACCATCTGGCATCCAGCTTCCCAAGCATCCTCACAAACTTGCAGCATGCAATGTGATGCATGTTGCTTCACTCACTTGCATCGGACCGAGCGAGGCCAAGGGAGACATGTTGCCAGGGGAGCTGTCTTATCAAGATCACTGCGTGCATCTGGAAGTCTGATCAGACTTGTCTGGCGATTCCGCGTTTGGGTTTGACCGATAGAACGACACGTGACATTGGCTCCTGCGGATCATAATTGGATGAGTCCACTCGGTAGCCAGCCGGATAGATACGGGCAATGTGCCTCGTAGTGTATCTGCGCATGGCCTGGCAAAGCATCAAATGCGGTATGCGCGTGCGGTACCGCATGCTGGCCTCCAACCCACACTTCCTCAGGCCGATCGTGAACGCTCTTACACTCGCGCTTGCCATTTGGCTGTGGGTCAAAACCAATGGGATCCCATTTTAGGGGTAGGTGCACGGGGCAGTTTCGACCAGCTGCGAAATCAATTGCAGGAGCTTGGTCTCCGAAAAGGATGAGCTTGTGCATCCCTGCCAGTTCTTGGCTTCCTTGAAAGAGCGAAACTTGACCTTGGCTGCAGCAATTGCCAATAATGAGGTGATTGCCATGACATTCTGAATCCAAGAAGCATTGCCAATTGAAATGAGCCTTGGCAGCCAGACAGCTGGCAACCGCTTTGCAAACGCCACTTATGGTCGCAGTCAGCAAAAGCAAAACCACCATGCCGGGCATTGGCTGTGTCCAATGCAAAGCTAGGTCCTTCTGTTCAAGCGGTGTTTCATAGGGACCAACACGAGCCGCCAACCGATTGGAGGAATCCAAGTTCTGTACATTTGGATTGGCCTTGGCTTTCCAAGTGGCTTCTGAAGCTCCGGCACTCGCGCAGGGCGCGATGCATCGGACTTTGGCGACTCAGTTGCAAACGCAGCCAAAGCCCCGATTTCGTCTTTGTGCTTGTCATGATAGCCTCTGCAGTGCAGCTGAGGGGCTGAATCGTCTAGATGCCAAGACCTTAAAAGGCTTGCCGAGCCTCTTCTGACACTTCAACACAAGGGACAAACTTTAGCAGGAAATTGAATCGCAACGTCCAAGCCTTCCTTCAAAACATCCCTTCAGTGTCCCTTGCTGTGAGCAGTATTCCAGCTTGATTGTGTGAAACCACCCGCAGACATCTGCTCAAAGTCAGCAAGCCGATGTCTTGCTTCCAGGTCGCTTGTCTCGGAGCAGGAAGCACCCGAGCAGCTCGCCGGGCGAGCGCCATGACAACGCCTCCGCAGGCGGAACCTGAGAGCTGCGAATCCCAAAGCTGCCCGGTTTGTCCAAAAGAAAAACCCCACCAAAACATACCAAAACGCAGTTCGCCAAAAAAAACACGCACCCACACTTCGGGGGTCAACAGCCTCAACCACTCTTGGTGCCTCTGATTGGTTTTCTGACCAAGGCGCGTATAGCGCATCGCCCAGTACGTCTTGAAGCAGGGCTGCACAATCCCTGCCAAACTTGCTCAGTCAAACAGCCGAAGTTGCTGGCTGCCAAGAATGCCTTTCAGGTCCAACTTTTCAACAATGTTGAAATGTTTAGACGTTTCCCATATTCAAACACCCAGAATTTACAAAGGCGTTTGATTCTTGGGAAATCTGCCCCCAGTGGGATTCATAGTGCGCGCTCCGGCCTCTGACCTTCTGGCGACAAATAGTTCTCAAGTGTAATGATGACCGGGCACGCTGAAGTTTCAAAAGCAGCGTCTCTGATGGCCTTCGCAGTCCGAGCAAGCAATGCGCGTGTGCAGGGCATCAGGTACCATGCAATCCGCAAAATGGCTATGCAAGGCCAACGAAAGGTTGCAAACAATATGTGAGAGTCTGCTTCTGCCGAAAGTGCTAATCACGGATAGCAAATCGACTTGCGCTGATTCGCAAGTGGAAACAAACCGAACATGGGCCCCTCTCGAAGTACCAAAGTGCCTCCAAACAAGCTTGGAGAGAAACAGCTGTGGTCGCTGTTCCACCATGAAGCACACATGGGCCTGGTCAGGTAGATTCAACTAATTGCACCAGGCGCGGCATGAATACCCGAAGGCCACGGGCCTTGCATGCCATACTTCTGGCCGTCGAATACCTCACAAAGCACTGGGTGAAATTCGACTGCCATCCTGTGTCAAGCTGAGGTGAACTCTGTCCGCTGTCCAAAGTCATGAAGCCACGTTGCATCCAGCTCCACAACGCGACAGCCATTCCGAAGCAAATTGGCCAGTGCATCTGCTGATGATGTGCTGGTCAACTGATTGCCCTCAGGGAATGATCAAACTGTGACTCTGGCATCCGAAAAGAAACGATGTGAGTTCAGACATTAGAAACAAATACGGGATGAATCTCTGCTTCGAACACATGAAAGCAAGACAAGCATAAAAGATGTGGCCAGTGAGCCCGGCCCATAAATCTGGCCTGTAAGTAGGAGTTGTGGCTGGAGTTCACCCAGTACCTTGGAGGGAAAGCGCGCCATCGACACATTTGTGTCACCTCAACCTGTGTTGACATTGGGCTTGTCTCAAAATAGGGGACCCTCCACAGAACTCTGGTTCTCCTTGTGGTTTCCCCCAGAACAGGTACCCTCAAAAAAAACACCCATTGCTTTGACGGTGACTGATGTGGTTCCATCTTCCACTGCTAGGCATGCCAGGCTGCTCGGACAGTGGCCGGTCAAGCTGGCTGGTATCTGATCTGTGTGGAAGATTGCTGTCCTTGACGGCACGGCCATTTGCTCAAACAGCTCGACTGCTTAAAGAATCCGAGCTCTTGGTGACTGTTCCTTCTCTAGATTCAATTTCTGTTAATATCCATTGTGTCATGTTAACCTCGAGAGAAAGAAAGACAAACAGACAGACACAGACACAAACACAGACACAGAACACAGGCACAGACACAGAGACACAGACACAGACAAAGACAGACACAGACACAGACACAGACAGACACAGACACAGACAGGCACAGACACAGACAGACACAGACACAAACACAGACACAGACACAGACAGACACACACAGACCACAAACAGACACGGACAACCACAGACCGACACAGACAGACACAGACAGACACAGACAGGCACAGACAGACACAGACAGACACAGACAGACACAGACAGACACAGACAGACACAGACAGACAGAGACAGACAGAGACAGACAGAGACAGACACACAGAGACACAGACAGACACAGACAGACACAGACAGACACGGACAGACACAGACAGACACAGACAGACACAGACAAACAGAGACAGACAGAGACAGACAGAGACAGACAGAGACAGACAGAGACAGACAGAGACAGACAGAGACAGAAAGAGACAGACAGAGACAGATAGAGACAGACAGAGACAAATAGACAGACAGACGGACGGACGGACGGACGGACAGACAGACAGACAAACACACAGAGACAGAGACAGAGACAGAGACAGAGACACAGAGACAGAGACAGAGACAGAGACACAGACAGACACACAGACAGACACAGACACAGACACAGACACAGACACAGACACAGACACAGACACAGACACAGACACAGACACAGACACAGACACAGACAGACAGACAGACAACACACAGACAGACAGACACAGACACAGACACAGACACAGACACAGACAGAGACGACACAGACACAGACACAGACACAGACAGACACACAGACACACAGACAGACACAGACACAGACACAGACACAGACACAGACACAGACACAGACAAACAGACAAACAGACAAACAGACACAGACACAGACACAGACACAGACACAGACACAGACACAGACACAGACACAGACACAGACACAGACACAGACACAGACACAGACACAAACACAGACACAGACACAGACACAGACACAGACAGACAGACACAGACAGACAGACAAACAGACAGACACAGACACAGACATAGACTCAGACACAGACACAGACAGACAGACAGACAAACAGACAGACAAACAGACAGACAAACAGACAAACAAACACACAGACAGACACAGACACAGACACAGACACAGACACAGACACAGACACAGACACACAGACAGACACAGACACACACAGACAAACAGACAGACACAGACACAGACACAGACAAACAGACAAACAGACAGACAAACAGACAGACAAACAGACAGACAAACAGACAGACAAACAGACAGGCAAACAGACAGACAAACAGACAGACAAACAGACAATCCACAGCCAGAACCAGAGCCAGAGTAAGATATCAAGCGCGCCAGTGTCTACAGTGAAGGGGAGCTTATAGTAGGCGCTTTCAAAACATCCGCTATCTCTACCAACTACCACTTGACTACCACTATCGATGCTACCATATCTTCCTGAACCAAGGCATGGTGCACTCCTAGAACACAAGGAAAGGGCTTGACATTGCAAAAACACGTTGCTGGAGGCAGTGCAATGGACAAGTCAACAGGACTGACACAAGCCATGTACAGCTGGTGAGGCAAACATGTCCCGCACGGAATTCCTGAGGAACAGAGGGGAACGCTCTTGATACCATTGAGGAAAATGGCCTGTGGCAAATTGACTGTGGATACTCTAAGTCCTGATAGCAATCAGCTTGGGCAGACTTGAAGACATTTCTGAAAAGTCCAAGCCAGGGAAAAGTTCCGGGCGTTGTTCGGGGAAAGAAGTCTGACAGCATGGCGTGCGAATACGATCATCAAAAAAAAAAGGTGCTACACAGCACCTGGTTAGATCAAGGTACTGTGAAAGTTGTTCCGCAGCCAATTCTTCACGCGACGAGACTTCCACGTGACGTTTGACCAGGCCGCCAATTCGTCACTTGGAGAATTGTCACGCGGTCGCTTCAACGCGAAACCTCGCGAAACCGGACCGCCTGCAAGACAGCCTCCAGCGCATTGGAGATGTGCCGGGAGCTTGAAGATGGGCCTCGCCGTTGAAAGCAAAGCAAGACTTTCACCAATGGGGCTGCCTGTTTTGAGTTGGTGCCCCGGTTTTGTGGTTGGCTTAAAGGCAAACCGAAGGGAGAAGCCAGCCATTTTAGGGAGTCCCCGCTATTTTGAGGCACCCCCACGAACCAATGCAATGATGCAAGCAAGGCGCTTGGACTGTCATCCAGAAACTGATCCCGCGGCATCTCGTTCTGCACTTCTCGGTACCAAGCGTCCGTATCAACTGTACACCTCATGGCGGGGTGCCGAGTGCCTTGTAAATCGGGATGACTCCCTCAAACCTTGTTTCAGCATGGCCATGTCAACACAAGCACTGCAGCTCAAAGACCCGTCGCTCTCCAGGAAATCTCCGAAGATGACCTACACCCAGGTTGACCATGCTCATCCCTGTGTTGCCTCGAAGTGATGGTTTCCCTGCTGTTCCCTGATCCCATCCTCCTTTAGGATCTTGTCCCTGTCGCAGTCCACGAGGGAAGAACTCACACCAAGACACCTCGGCCCAGGGTGGTGAGACATCTACAAAAGCTGGTTGCTGAGCACTGCTTGCACCCCTCATGCGATGAACTGGCCACGTGGAGCAAATAGTCGCCCCGGACACATTTGGAAGATCCCGAACATCCCCACATTGCCCCAGTATGTCCTGCCTAGCAAGACAGTTGCTCCACAATGCTATCCAACGTGACCATGTGCCGTCATAGTGAGCGTGTTGTTGACCAACAGGCGCTGCTCAACTGCTACAAAATCGAAAGCGTTATAAGCCCCCTGATCTGCTTTCATCCAGCATCTTGGATTCTTGGACCCCAACCTCGCGCAGGATATCTTGTTGACAGCCCGGGACAACGCCAGCGTGATTCGCTTGCCAACCTGCCAGGCCCTTCACTGACATGAGGCATGAAGCATATCAATTCCACGCCGGTTGCACTGAAGAGCCACTAGCTATTTCTTGCGTGTCACCCGGACAAAGGCTGCGCATTGACAAAATCCCTTTGATATGGGTTTAGCAAAGAAACCAACTGGCCAAACGATTGGCTGTGTGCGAGCAGAACGTGATGTTCAGCTGACATGTTTCGCTGCTGACTCCGCGCCTTTCTTTCCTCAACGGGCGCCAGAAGGTCCAGACGGCTGCCGGCCTGACTGCGGCGCAGCAGCACCTGCGGCTCGTCCTCCGAGTTGTCCGGGCTCAGCTCCGCAAAGCCTGGCCCAGCCATTCCGAGAGCGCTGGCTCCAAGGATGAAAAGAAGATCCATAAGCCCAGCACCTTCGCATGTGGTCGTCGCCTGGCGACATGAACTGTGACAGCCAAAAACATGAGCATGCAACTCAGCGCCCAAAAAAAGTCAACCGGAGATATTGGCGGAAAGGCAACAATCTTCGAGAGGGCTCCATTCCGATCTTTCCCGCCTGTCTGCTGAGGCTCAAGTCGCGGCGGCTGCGTGCTGTGAGCGTTTGGCTCATCGGGACTTCCTCCGATGGCGGAGAAAATCCTTGGCATGGAATTGTTTGATCCGGAAGTCCGTGATTTGTGTGTCGTTCTTAATGTTGGACCCCCCTAAAATGGCGTTGGTTGTCCTTTTGGTTTCCTATGTTTGCCCTCAAAACCATCGCACCCTCAAAAAAGAAACACACCCTGATGAATCCAGCAACTCAAAATGCGAGGCAACCTCTCGTATGTACGCGGGCAGTGCACTCGCTGCAGCTCGGGTGCCTTCTGATTCCAAGTCTGACTTGAGCTTCTCGATCTGTGTGACACGAAATCTGTCCTGCGCCTCCAGAAGATCATGCAAATCAAGCTTCACCTTTGAACGAAAGGGTCGAAACACAATCATGGCATGACAAGCATTCACCTTGAGCTCCATTGTCCACTTCAAGCCTTATGCAACTGCCACCTGGCTTCACCTGTCCTGATCAGAGCCATCGCAACAAAGAAGAGGCTGATACGGGACTTGCAAAGGCACCGGTTCTATCGCATCGCTGGCATAGCTGGCTGCAATGATTTCAGGAGCTTCTCCTGCGGTGGCCAAGGCCTGATGCTTTGCACCAATAAAACCCTCTAGGAACACCACCATTCTTGGGGGGGGCGTTGATTTTTTGGGGGGGAGGCGTTCACCTTGACGCGCTGCCGACCTGCCAAAACGGTTTTCTCAAACCCGAGCGCGCCTTTGTTGTTCACATTGCAAGCGCAGGGAAGGAGCTCCAGGAAGAACCTGAGCTCAAGGAAACCGGTTCTCAACGAATGTCTGTGGGTTGATTGGTTCCTTGGAATGCCAGCGCTCAAAACGTGATAGCTGCAGAGGTGACCTTCTGGAAAAAAGGACTGCACCTAGTACCAACGGAACAAAACCCATCTAAACCAGTGGAACCCATATATTTGTCATCAAGCTAACCTAAAAAGGAGACCTATGGATGTCTGAAGAGTCTGTTGCCATGGCATGGCCATCACTAATCCACGATCCAGGCTGCATCTGACCTTTCAGGCATCCCACTTCGCCATGGCAGCGTCATGAAGCGTCGAACCGTCGTCTCAGGCTGCCCTCTGGTCGTCTCTGGGGAACCGCTTCAGGCTGCACTGACTTGGTTGACGTTGGAAGGGGAGCAAACATGTAAATCTTAGCAGTTAAGTGGGGATTTCCCACTAACCACAGCAAGCAAAAAGATAAAGTGCTTCCCAACGACAACCCTGCTGAATTGCTTCTCCACTTTGCGGTGGCAAAAAGCTTGTGAAACGCTGAATCGCTCACCTTGAGCCGCGACAGAGGAGACAACCTGTCTCACTTGCAGTCATAAAAGTGCTCGAGTGCAACACTTTGAAACATCATGCATCATTGGTCTGTACTGTCGGTGTTTTGGCATGCCATGACAGTCCCGCACTTCAAGCGCCTTCCGCGTTGGCATGGCTGCAGGAACATTGCTAAGCAAACACGACTCCTAAAAAACAATTGTCTGCCAGTATCGTCTGCCCGTCAATCTCGACATGCTGAAAGTCATCAGCCATGGCTTGAAGTCGACTCCGCATCGCTTCTGGCTGAGTACACCTGTTTCACAGCCGATTTGTGCAGCTGCCCCAGTCTTCAAGCAAGCACTTCAGGGACTTCAGAGACGTCAGTGCGCGCTGAGCTTCTTTTTTTTGCGGCGCCGCCTGTTGATTTGCTCTCGCGCCATCACATCTCGGGTCGGGTGCTCGCCTCGCAGTCTTCTGCAGAGTCTTGAAGTTCTACGAGCTGCAAAGACTGACATGCTTTCATATGGCTGTGGCTCAAAATTAAACAGGAGGGGCAAACCGCAGGTTTTGGTCCATGTTTCCACTTACCAGGGTTCCATTTTGGTACCGGTTTTCTGAGCCACGGCCATATGTTCCTCGTACGATCTGTGTTGGTCCTCATGCAGTGATCACCACGTCGCCGTGTTGTCGTCATCCTGGCTCCACGGCTCAAGTGCCATCATTCTAGGGGTACCTTCCCCATTCCTTCCAGGGATCCTTCTTTCCAAAGAACCACCAAAACCCTGGGAAAACAGCTGGTTTTTGAGAAGAGCGATGGTTGAAAAGAATGGGGAATCAACCCCTAGAATCATGTCCAGCGCCATCATGTCGAGTGCCACTTTCAAGCCATGCCTGGCACTTCAATGCTGTCCAGGCGGAGTAGCCTTGCGCTCGTTTCAAATGAGAGCCACCCACTGACTCCCACTGACCCTACAGATTGACATGGAATGGATACCCCCACAACAAACAAATAAGCTCAGGCGATATCCCCAACAGCACCCGGTTTTGCTGAGGATGCCGCCTTGTAACTTTGTAAAGCAAAGCGAAGCAAAGAGTGACAGCGCAATCGCGCCCTGATCGGGGCCCAACGGCGCAATGCGGCCCGATCGGGGCCCGACGGCGCAATCGGGGCCCGATCGGGGCCCGACAGCGCAATCGGGGCCGATCGTGATCGGGGCCCGACGGTGCAATCGGGGCCCGAGCGGGGCCCAACGGTGCAATCCCACCAACCCCAGCCAACCATATTATAGCTCAACGCCGGTTTTCCTTAACATGTGGCCTTACAACTGTACCTAGCAAAGCTAGGCGATGCCAGCTTGGTGCAGTTGACGGGGCCCAACTGAGCTGGGCCCCCCGGTGCAATCGGGCCCCGACCTGGGCCCCGTGAACCTCGCAAACCGTCCTCATAAAACCCTCGTCCAACTCAGCGTGAAACTTTGTTGGAACCTTTCCTCAGGGCTGCCCCATGGCTCTTGCAGAACCTGGTAATTAGAAACCTCGTGGAGCGTTTTTGGAACCTTCCCCCATAGCCCTTGCAGCCTTGTGGAACTCTTGGAACCCAAAGCCTACCAAGTAATACATTTACTCTGCTGCGCGGTGAGTCCCGCAGCAGCGTGGTCTGATTTGCCACAAAACAGTGAAAGTGTGCTGAAAACGATTGACTTCGGTTTTGCTTAGTGTTCCGCCCATGAGCAAAGCGATCTTCTGAGCCCTCAATTTCTTCTCCGGTGACACATTGCTTCCCCGCAGGGAATGTTTTGTGGAGCCTTGTGGAGCTTTGTGGAACTTTTGTGGAATCCTTGCGAAACTCTGTGAAACCTTGTGAAACCTTACCTCAAGCCCTCATGGAATCAAACCTTGCAGAACCTTGCTCCACCCCGCAGCCCTTGCAGAACCTGGTGAAAATCTGGTGGAACCCGGGTGGAACCCGGGTGGAACCCTGGTGGAACCTTATTTTAAACCACCCGGACAACCCCGCAGCCCTCGCAGAACCTGGTGGAACTTTGGTGGAACCCTCGTGGAACCTTACCTCAAACCACCCCGGACCACCCCGCAGCCCTTGCAGAACCTGGTGGAACCCTGGTGGAACCCTCGCGGAACCTTACTTCAAACCACCCCGGACCACCCCGCAGCCCTTGCAGAACCTGGTGGAACCTTGGTGGAACTTTGGTGGAACCCTGGTGCAACCCTCGTGGAACCTTACCTCAAACCACCCCGGACCACCCCACAGCCCTCGCAGAACCTGGTGGAACCCTGGTGGAAGCCTGGTGGAACCCTCGTAGAACCTTACCTCAAACCACCCCGGACCACCCCACAGCCCTCGCAGAACCTGGTGGAACCCTCAAACCACCCCGGACCACCCCCCTGATGGAACCCTGGTGGAACCCTCGTGGAACCTTGCCTCAGGGCCGCCCCGGACCACCCCGAACCCTATCTGGGCTGAGACCCCAAAGCTTTCAGCTGTTGGGGAAAAAAAAACATCGTTCTTAGGGGAAAAATCTTTTTGGGGGGACCCCCGTTTTGGTTTCGTGTTAGTTCATTTGTCGGGGAGGAAGGAATTTGCAGAGACCTCTGTGCGCCAGCCAAGGCTAAGGAGGCAGCCCCAGAAATGATCGACTTTCTCCGGCTCCGCGATTTCAACCTGAGCCCGTGAGGCTTCGAGACGGTTTCGATCCCTCGATCCCTCGACTCTCCGAGGCCGAGTCGGAAGTTCCAGTGCAAATGCCAACCTGAATTTTGCAGTGGGCACGGCAGTCACCTCAGCCGTGTGAGTCGCGACTCGCGAGTCGCAAGCTGCGGCGGTGCTGACCAAGGCCCCGCGCGGTAGAAGCAGATCTCCAGGCACTTGTGCACCAGCTTCTTCGCCTCTTCCAGGCCTCGAGCAGAAGCAAGCCGTCCAGCCACGCAAATTGAGGAGATCCGGGGAGCCGGCTCATGTCTGCGCTCCAGCCGTTGCGCAGCAAGGGCCTGGTTCACTCTGAAAAAGAAACAGCCCGATGAGACAAGGGATCCCCTGTTGGATACGACATTGTCTACCCGTGTTTGAATTCACGACTCCGCCTGAGCATCCCACAAGCTACCTCTCTTTAGGTTGTCTGCCACGAGATCCCGTCGGTTCCAAAAGACCAGGCCAGCGACACCAGGCAAGTGACCATCTTCCAGTCTTCCAAAAAAGGAAAAGTGCCGAAACCTCCGGAAGTCTCTCCCATTCATTTCTCAGTGCTCGGGGCTCCGGCAGTGCCAAATGCATCGCAAACCCCGTTGCCACAAAGTTCTCTTCATAGGCGGTTCCTGCAAAAAAGGCCGCGAATGGAATGAAGTTGGAGATTCCACCCAAAAGCTCCTTGATGGTCGACATACATGAGGTGGGCTGGCTCATCCTGGCATTCATTCTCAGATCCAGGCCAACTCAACTCCACAAAAACTCTGAAGAGGTGAGAGCGTGCCTTTTTCTTGCCAACCACTACGAACTGGTTGTACAAGGGGTTGAATCTGCGCATCATTCATATACGAGGTTCCAGACTCACTGCTCTCTCTCTCTCTCTCTCCGGGGGAAAAAAAGTCCGAGCCAAGCGACTTGCTTCGTCGGTTGTACATGATCCGACCAATGTACGAGGAGTACTCCTTGGGTCCTCGGCGCCCACTGTGCGCCGCAAAAGCCGTGAGAACCTCACCGAGGCCAAAGGCCCATGGAGTAGCCATCCTCGTGAAGCCAGTCCTGGAAACCGAATTCGAGGCTCATATGCAGTAAGTGAAGTGAAGCGGAATCCAGATTGCTGAGTCCTCATCTGCCATCTCATCTAACAGGTCGCTGACATACTGGAAGTCACTGAATTCACCTCCGCCACCTTGCGCTTTGCAAAGAAGTGCAACTTGCAAAATCGAGAACGCATCGTAGGCTCCGGCCAAGCAGTGTGTACTCGCCGACCTTCTTTAGCCGGCACCTGGTTCCCGCATCTAATGCGGCAAGCATATCGCAAGCAAGGAAGCTAAGGCTACCGCACATCCTTGTATCGAGCTTCGGAACCATAGGACCTCCGCTTGGTTTCGTGTTTAGGGCTAGTTTCCCCTTTACCCCCGGTGGCGGGGTTCAAATCCCGCCGTCTTATCAAACCAGTGACCTGACTAGTCGTGTTCTGCAGCTCGCTGTCCCAGAAACACCAAAGATTTGCTTAGGCATTGAGAAAGACCTGTCTACATTGCATGGCTGCTCTACGATACTGTGGATGGACAAAATCCTGCACTACCTAAGAAACCCTGGAATTATGATTCCCCTGTAAATACCAAGAAACAATGGTCTCCCATGGTTTCAAAGTGGTGCAGGATTTCGTCCATCCACAGTATCATGTGCAAATAGCATTGGCCCATGGCCAATAGCCAGCACCACCCTAAACCAGCCACAATTCCCGGCGCAACACCCACCCTAAACAAACCCTAAGCCAGCGGGCTCCTAAGCCCACCCTAAAGCAAGCAGAAAAACTCCACAAACTGCCCGCTGTTGATGACGAGGGTGCTGAAATCGATGTTGGGGGTCTGACGATGTTGATGGGTCTTGTGCAAATGCTTCCGAGGTTGTAAGAAATTGCTGTTTTACAGCATTTGGGCCAGATTCAAGCCACAAAAACTCTTCGCAAACAACACGTCCTCTCTTCTCCATTTGTGAGGTTGGGCCGCCCAGCGCGAGAGTGTCTGCGGCCACAATGACACCATCCTTGTACTTCAAACCGATGACCGATGCGCCAGTCACGATTGGCTGCAGCCTAGGCATCCATGCATTGACTCTCCTGT